ACTTTCTTATTTAATCCTTTGACATGAGTCTGTTGATCTTGTTTCGTGCATTGTCTTCTTAGATTTGTCAGGCTGGAGAAATATGAAAAAGCCCCAGACAGTTTAAGAGCTGGCAAGTGAACCGTGGCAGTTTGTGCCCTCCGTGCATATGCTTCCACTTAATGGGATTTTTGAGTTCACCCTGTCAGCCAGCTGCACTACTATGCCTTTGTAGTCAGAAGGCTGGTACTTAAAGGTACGGAAGCTGATACTTACAGGAATCTGTTAAGATGACAACAAGATATTTTCTTCATTAGTCAAATGTGGCTTCTGGATTTTACTCTTCTGTAACCTTGTACTATTGGATTTACCATGTTACTCTGGGTAACTCATCAAACTTTTTGGGCATCCACTTAAGGACAAGTACTGGCTGCTGCACTCGCCTACAGCTTCCTACACTGACTGTGACATTATATATCCTTCAGCATGTGCAGCCACATAGTATTCTCCAGATAATTTTCTACCAGTCTTACCAAAGTACAGGAAAGGGGTATAAAGCTGTAAAAGTGCTTGGCCCAAAAGAAACCTTTGAAGACATGAAATATTCTTTATGAGCAAGAGAACTGAGTTTAGTATGGTCTGAAAAGGTACAAGTGGGTTTTTTTGTGGGTTTAGAGGGCAACTTTCATAAGAATAAGATGATTTACTTGTGAAATTATGTAATTCTACTTCCACATATTCTTCAAGTAATCAGATCATATAGGCCAAACAATACTGTTAAATGCCTGGCTTATTTAATTATGTATATATTACTTATTTTCATTACTAAAAACTTGAGGTATTGCACTGTTAACTTTATATCTCTGGCACAACATCACAATATGTGACTGTGATGCATGTGCATTCATCACTGAGAGGTACCGCACTGTAATCACAAAAATCCGCTATATTAAATGCAGTTAAACTGTTTAACTCCCAGAAGAACCATACTAATTCACAACGATATTATTTACAGCAGAATTTGATTAAGTTAGTTCTGTAATATAAACTAGTAGAGAAAGACAATGCAAACTCTAACTCCCACACATTAGGGATAAATTCGTACCTGAATGCTGATTTCGATTGGGTATTGGATAATTGTAGTTGTGTACTGCAAACTCCTTAGAGCTATGCTATAACCGATTGGTTCTCAAACTGTATTAACTGGAAAATGGTACTTCACAAGTCTGTAGTAAGTAGTCCATAAATCATAGAAAGGAAGAGTTAGGTGACTAGCCAGGAAAAGGAGAATTTAAGGATGTACAGCCATGTACTAGTACTTCCTGGTGTAGTATTTTCCCCAAACGGAGCATGGTAGCTCTCCTATTGCACTGTTCACTCCCCGTACATAGTGATTTAATCAGGTCTCTGGGGCCTGCAGCTAATTCTGATCAGAAAATTGTTTTACTGGTGCTGCAACTTACGAGCTTTTACGTGAGAGCATTCTATTAGAGGACTGAAGTGGCCTTGGGCATGGACTATTTTTCCTGGATTTGAAACAAGTTTATAGGAACATACAGGAAGAAGGAGAGAACACGATGTTTATGTTTACTTACACCACCATTGGGAATCTCCATTTCAGGGATTTCTATTTGAAATTGCCTTTCATGTTCTGCAGAATGCTCTCTTTGCTTTTCACTGGGTAAGGAACTGGGGAGCAAGAGCTCTTTAATAACATATTCAGCTCTATTTGTTAAAGAACTGTTAGATTAGGGCAGACAGATCTGACATGACTCCTCTCCTGCTCACTTCTCAAGGAACTCTTGTTTATAAGATGGGCAATGTCTAACAGGAACATGGGTCTGAAATTTTTAGTTGCTGAGATATCTTCTTAGCTGCTACCTTATTTGTAAGTGAAGATTGAAAGTAAGTTAGTACTGTAAAAGATGTATTAATACTTTTAATTATTTAACTGGCCCACCATATGATTTGGCCAAGATCTATCAAAGAAACTAAAATGCCCCAAATTTAAGGAAGACAGCTGAGTGAACTTCAGTAATAAGAGGATGATTTAGAAAAAGCTGTGAGTAATTTGCTTGGTTATATTCTATGCATAAAAATCAAAACAGATATGCATCCTGAAGTTTACTTATTGTCAATATAGATTTAATTCAGAATACTTCAATTTTCAGAGTTTCCTTTTAAGAGAAATATTGTGTTATAATCTTTCAGCTGTTTACTTGAAAAATAGTGGGATCAACCCAGTCGCAGGTATTTGTTCTATTTTTTTGAATGAATGCAAAGGTGTATGGAAGTTATTAATATTGCAAAGTTAACCCAGTTATTCAAATCAAATGTGATCAAATTAGTCAGCATAAAATGCAAACTTTTCTAAATTTAATATTTGGAGTCCATAAGGAGATTTTAAGTACAGTGCAGTGCACACTTCAATCCCATGCAAGTTTTAAATAAAGTAGATATTGTAAAACAGCTGAATATTAAATTCACTGCTTGTTTCCTTAGGAGTATTAAAGCCATAAACAGGTCATGCATGATACAGTGATAGATGAAGCACTCCTGGGAAATAAGGCCTTTAACAAGCTTGGAGCACCCTGTGACCATGGCAAGCAAAAGATGAGCTCATCAATTTCATTATTAATTCATTCCTAAGAACACAGCTATGCTCATGTAAGATCTGACAAAACAGCGTGAGCATTAATTTTGCAAAACAAAGTCTGTCTGCACCACACAACACAGCAGGCAAAATTCAGCTGCAGCAGAGTGACTCTACCTGCTACATACAAATCAATTACTACCCATTGGTATACAACAGCAATGCGGTAATAAAGGTAGGTTAAAATATTCTGGAGTGGAAAAAATTATTAAACAGTGAATGTGAAGCAGGAAACTCTAAAAACAGCTGTTAAAACAAAACCTGGTGGTAAACGCAGTTGAAGAAAGGGTATATGCTCCCCACACAGTGAATAAAGAGATGCTGTGGCCCTCTCCATATTAAAACTCCTTTACTTTTCAGCATGAAAGCTCTAACGTTCTATTAGCATAGAAAATCCAGTTAAACGTTGTGGTGGCTGCAGGAGTATGAGATGCCCTTTTTCCTCAGATAGCTAGCAATTTGCTGGGAAGACAGAGATTTGTAAAATTAGGATTTCAAGTGCATTTTTCATCTGTGAATCTTGCTTATTAATTTTTGAATTTCACACAGAATATCTTGAAGGAATTCCAGGAAGCATTTAAAAGCTGCAAGGGATGCCCAAGAGGCAGCAAAGTAATCCACCATTTGGACTGGAGAATGAATTCCAGTTATTCTACAAGAAGAGCATTTCTGAAGGAAAAATAGTGCAAATAATACTTCAGAAGGAGTTCACTTTTTGTCTTCTCCCATAGGAATCCGTCCCCAAAAGTCAGGAAAAAGGCTCTCAAAAATTCCATACTAAATGATATGAAATTAAATGATATGAAGATATATCCTGGTACCTTCCCAATGAAGGCTGTAAACTCTCACAAAGACGATCTCATTGACTCCCCATAGAAAAATCCATTAATATTGTAAGAGCAGTTTATTGAATGTATGTCAAGACTCCTTGAGTCAGAGCATTTTATGGTGTAACAGGAAGACACGATCAATTGCACTTCAGCAAATGATAACTATCAAAGTAGCTAAAATCAAAGGAGGGACAATGCACAGTTAAAAATAGCAGAACAAGCTCCCTTCAGTTTTGGACCAAAGAAATCTCAGCCACATCACATAAATGAACAATGGAACATTATTAACATTGGAGACAATATGTTTCAGCAAATTTATATCCTAAAAATGACTGCTAGCCACAATGAGATACTCTGGATAACTGAACCAGCATCATCCTCATCAGTGGATGATGAACTGGCCTCAACTCTTTCAATGCAGCCAATCTTACGCATCAATACACTATTTCCTGAAGGGCTACATAAGCCATCGGATATAAATGCTCAATTTAAAAATAATTTTTAGACATTAGTATTCCAAAGAAAAAGATCCAGCTGCATTCTAAAGTAATTCTGTCTTTCTAAGTCTGGGAACAGAAAAAACTAACTAAACCTCAAAGTTTGAGCTGTCTACGTGAGGAAAGATTTAAGGCTTCAGAACACGGTAACATTGTCCCATGTGTCCTTGCTTTTTACCTCAGCTGGGAATAAACAAATTAGTGAAGTAACAGGAGGAGGTAGAACATTTGACTCTGCCTTTGAGGATCAGAGCTGCTGTCCCACCTTTATCTGACCTCTGCCTTCATCACTGAATCACAAAATAGAAACACAGAGTAATTTAGGTTAGAAGAGATCCCAGGAGGTTGTCTGTTCGACTCCCCACCCACAGCAGGGCCAGCTTTGATGTTGGATCAGGTTGTTCAGGGCCTTGTCCAGTCAAGTTCTGAATGTCCTCCCAGCACATCCAAGGGCATTTAAAAGCACGCAGTAATGCCCAAAATTGAACTTTCCTACCTCTGTGCCTTGTGGGGAGAGTGATGGCGTGAATAATTTAATTACCACAGGGTTTTGTCATTGTTGGGGGTTTGGCTTTTTGTTGTTGTGTTTTTTGGTGTTTGGTTTTTTTTTCATTTTCAGATTGTGGCATGAAATATAAAAAGCACCTCAGAGGTTCAGTCCTGTTCCTGGGTGATTAAAAAAACACCTCAAATTGCTTGTGCCTGGTTTTAGGTCCTGTCACATTACTGAGGGTTGTCACTAGATCTAACTTCAGAATATCTTATCCCATCATGTGGGTATCCTGTTGAGTGGAGATGAGACCAACAGAACTAACTTTCCAAACACATCTTCGCCAAATTTTGACATGCAGCTTGACAGAAAATTTCAGTAGAGTTACACAGTGTAATGCATGTGTTAGAATTAATGGAGAACTGTGTGGACTAAGTTCTGAGAACACTATCAATCAGCATGACATCATGCTCCAACAGTGTATTTCTATGTGAGATGAAATATCAATTTCAGTTATTGGAGTACCATGATAAAGAGGAAGCATAACTTACCTATTCATTTCTTCAAGGCAGTCTGTTGCAAAGTAGAAGCTCTTTATTTTGGGGTGGCATGCTTTGAAGGCACTGTAGAATAAACACAAATAAAAATACCTTTTATTTCAGACAGTTTGTCTACGAATATGCAAGATTGACCTGCTCTATGATTCCTCATCATGGTAGGGGCTTCATAGCCGTTTTGAACCTGCAGTCTGAATCTTGCTGGATTAATTTATAGATGGATTCCTACTGATCCAGTTACATCTACATTTGCAAACCTAATTCCTATTTTGTAAAAAGCCCTTGAATAACTTAGAAATATAAATCCTTTCAATAAGCACTGATATTACGCATCTGAAAAATTCTTGGGTGAATTAAAAAATCTTATTGAATATATTTAACTACATCTTAGGTGTAGTCCAAAGATCAACTAAAGGAATAAGAATTTAATCCCATCACCTCTTCTCATATATTTAGATGACTGTGCTTTGGTCCTACTCAGATACAGAGGGCTGCCAGGTTATTGTTATAACTGTCTCATGTTTTTATTTCAACTTTGATTCTGAAGATACTCATGAATTTATCCATTTTTTTTTAAGTTAATAAATGAGGAAGAGAAGGAATATGAAGATGAATAACCAGCCAGTAATTGTATTCGACTGGAGATGAAATTTAAAATACAGGACACTCAAATTCTTTTTCCTTAGCCATTAGCCTGTAAGATCTCCAGAATAAACTTGAGTAAAGGAATGTTTCCTAAATTTGATGCAATATATTTTAAATCCCCAATTACAATATTCATTCAATTTGAGTTTAACAGAAGCAGTATAGAAAGTTCTAGGGAATGTAAGTGGCAGGTTTGCTTTGTTTGGAAGCAGATAATAGTAAAGAAGTTTCTTAGAGAGTCTTAACTCTAAGTCACTTCTAATTCCAGCAATTGCTATGCCGAGTTACTCTAAAACCAGCCAAACCCCAAGTAAATGAGTGCTTTATTAATTACTATGATTTATTGTAGTTTTCAGAGGGAAAAAAACGAATGCTAAAGAAGCTTCACTTGGCACACTGACTTCCTTATAGATGCTATTAATAAAAATGTATACAGTGCCAGGCTTCCCTAAAAGATGTTTTAAAGACAAATGAGATAACAGCAGTTGTATTTATGTTGTTTCCTTTTTCATGAGATTAGATGTATATTAAGTTTACCTTTGCACAGAGGGTCATCATAAAACGTCTTAATTGCATAAAAGAAGAATTGAGAGATAGGTAAAGAATATTTCAGCATCTGGACATTGGTAATTGTTGCTGCAGATCCTCCTCTCCTTAGCTACTTGTGTTTTACAAACGAAAATAGTGCGTGCATGGGAAACCCCAAAGAGGGAGGAGACCTTCCTCATGCCCACTAGATGGCATACACTTGTTAATTATATCTGCTGAATCGTAAGATTTTAATGCAAGGGATTTTGATCATTAATTTTAAGTACATTTATGATTTGGTTTACCTCATTAGTGTAATATAATTTTAATGACAAAAATTCTTATCATCTTTAGTCTCCTGCTTCTTAATGCAGAACTATTTACTCCCCTTACGCCAGCTGACTACCCGCAACTCCAGCTGCTTTAGCAAAACTGGATATCCATCTGTGAATAAGAAATGTGAAACAGTTTTCTATGTCTTTATAGACACGTGTATATATTAGATATGTTACACACTGGTAACTACAAAGTAATTAACAAATACTATACCCCTTAAAGAACTTCCTAACAGAACCCTTACTACTAAAAATAGGAAGTAATTACTAAACAAATACTCCTGCACTGCTATACTATGGTGTGCTGTTTTGACGGGTGTATTTTTTGCATCAGCACGCAGTTTTCAGTTGGTATGAGCTCTGTGCAACATCTCTACCTTCTAGTGTTTCATTTGCCCAACTGTCTTCCAGTTCTCAGATTAAAGAATTGGCTCAAATTGGAGAGGATTATATGGTGGATCTAAAGATTCGAATCCTCTTGACTAATCCTGATAGAGTATCACATGATGGAGTTTCTGCTTGTAAATAGGATTATTTTCCTAGACAGGAAATTTATGTACATAAAAGCGTTAAATGCCACTATCAGGGATTCAAAACCTTTTAGAAGCTACAATATGCCAGAGCCTGTGCGATAAACAGAACTGAAATTTGGCTCCACTGTGCTCTTGTAATGTGATGCAATCTATGATTATGGATTTGAATTCTACACTCTCCCACGAGCCCTACTTCAGTTAGGATGCAGAGAGTGGACTGGCTGGAGAGGTGAATCAGGATCATCCAACAGATAAGGCCACTTTCTGTCTTGGTTGTTACAGAATTTGTGAATGTGTCTTAAAATGCAGAATTTTTTCAAGGTATCAGTTGAATGCTGCAGGTCTTCTGCTTATGCAAAGGATTTCTTACATGCTAAGTCACAGCAAACAGACTTCATAATCGGTTATTAGATATTCCTTAATATCTTTGTGCCTGATATTCTGATAATTTACTGAACGGGTGAGCACTCATAGATGCAATAATGTATTTTATTGTTACACATTTACATACTCTGGAGAAAACAAGCCTTTATTGTTATGAAACGGAGATCTCAATTCTGTGGAAACTTTTTATTTAAATGTTTTGCAGTTCTGTTTCTGGGCTGCAAAACGTAACAATAAAGCCATTTTCATCTCCCAGAAGTGTCACAAAGATTATTATTAGGGAAGCATTTAGATATGCTAGCATTAAGAACTGCAGAAAATTCTCCAGGGAAATCTAGAAGTATAGAGGAATATGAATGATGCAGAAGAACAATACCTACATTTTTACCTTTGCCTTTTTTTGAGAGCCCAAAACTGGATACAGTAATCTAGATGTGGTGTTATGAGTACCAAGTATAAGGGTATAATCACTTCCTTTATCTATTGCCTGCACTCCAGTTAACACAGGCTGGTAAGCTGTTAGCTGTTCTTCCTGGGGGGGGCTCACTAAGTTTGGTTTACTGCCTACCAAGACTGTAAAGTTCATTTCAGAAGGAGTAATAAAAATTACTGAAGCTGTAGCAACCTTAGGACAACTTCATGTCTACCTATGCTATAGCAATGACATTTATATAGAATTCAGACTGCACAGTTCCAATAAACAGCATGGTATGTGCTCTCATAAATTCAAGACCTGAATATGCATTAACTATGCAATGAAAATTCTGACCTGGTGAAGATTTTTGGAAGTTCAGGCAAAGCACTAGTTAACAATGAGTAATTATATACGTAATTTATTACGGGCCGTTGTAATTATGAGTATCTTTGAAAATACCATAATATTCAGGTCATTCCACATCACACAAACTTAAATACCGAGATTTCTAATACGCTATAATGATTTTAAATCATGAAAATGCAGGTGTTGCCTTAAAGCAGTGGAAAGTTTTTCAGTGTCAATGCAAGAAACCTCCTCTCTCAGGGACAAGGTCATTCTACATCCAAATATAGCCTGGAGAGCTAAACCAGTCTGAGATAATGCCATGATTCATATAATAATCAGGGTACCTTCATTAAATGCATTAGAGAGGCACATCATCAAACCATACAGAATAATGCATTCAATTACTATACATTCTTGTGAAATCTTTCTTTAGGCTATTTCATTCAATGTATGCTATGGCCATCAGTAAGTCATTCTATAAAACAGCACTCTCCATCTGACAGGGTAGTGGAAAAGACAAATCTTGGCTATTGTAGTCAGACTTCAAACTCTTTTGTTCAATAAAGTTTGAACATTTCACATGGAGGGCTCTGAAAATAACAGAAATTTGAGGGGAAATCCAAGCTGAGTACCAAAATGTTCTTAGCTTTGATTTTGAGGGAGCTGAAAGAAAACTAACGCTGTGATTTTAGCTGGACTTCTTTGTGCACTAAAATACTATGTGTACTTTGGGGGATTTTATTTTGAAATTTTATTTTAAAAATAAATGAACCTACAGAAAAGGGAAAAAAAAAAAGAAAGGAAAGAGCTAGGTTTCATTCCCCTGGTCTTATTAACTGTCAAGGTAACTGCTTTACTAGCTTTTACATTAATGTTAAAATGGACTCAATCATACACAAGTGAGAGCACAACCACATTCATATTTTCAGTTTTCAAGCTTGCAATGAATTTATGTTACAGAAACTCCACTGTTCAATGAAAAATGATAATGCTAGTGAAAAAGATTTCCTAAAGTGGAAAGAAGTGAGAACTGATCTTGTAAAATCTGACTTTCACTAGCTTTCTGAAAAGGAGGCAAGAAAATCCTAAGTGGAACGTTCCCCTCTAGTCTAGCAGAGACAGTAATGAACTGAGTTAGAACCTTTCCAGCATATGCTGTGCCAACATGGGCCACCATCTCCTTAATTTTATTTGTCCCTATGCTTACCAGAACCATTAGCCTTTCAGTGGATTCAGGCAATGGCAATCATGCTTAGTCCTGCCTGGTATGATAACATAGAGGAGGATAGGTAAGTGCTTTGGAAGTGTGCTTAGAGAGGCTGTGGATTAGAACTGGTTGCCATACAAGCAGGGGCCTCCATTCATATAAGCTAGATATACTAGAATGTGAGTGAACACTGGATTGGATTTACTTTCTCTGCAGTTTTCAGAAGAGCAAGTAAAACAGGGGCAAAAGTAGGGTGTAGTTTTTACAGTGGGTTAATACATAAATGAGAGTCCTTGAAGGAAGAAATCAAAGGGAAATTCAGCTCAGTGAACAAAGGGAATACTATTAATGTCTTTATTATACTTTTAGCCCTGGACGTACCTCTTTTTGAAAGGATTCGAAGCCTGAAGGTACTTTGTTTTCAATAGTGTGCAAAGTTTTAGTTAATCGGACTTTTTCTTGTGCACATACCCTACAGAAATAGTACTCTGAGAAGTGTTCTGAAGAAATGTGTTCTAATGCTTAGAGGAAATCTCTGGAAGCTATTTCTAGCTGTGCACAATGACCTTCTGTTTGATCTTTGTTAATTCATTGAAATTTGTGAAGTGTTTTATATTCTAACAAAAGAGTATTATTTTGGGGGTATTTTTTTTCAATATAATTATTAATATCTACTCATTCCTTAGAGGTATTTATAGTGCTTAGTTCATGTGTAATATCTATAGTGATACCCTCAGCTAAAAAGAATAATAGAAGTACAAATTGCACTGTCTTCTAATTCTCTGACAGACAGTAATAACTCAAGACAAGAAAAAGCAGTTGAAGAGGTCAGATCTGATGAGCAGTCTCAGTTGTAATTTATATGGTCAATATTTTTATTGTACACGTGTTCATAGCTGTAGGTCTTGTATTTCTCAGCCCAAAATTGTGTTTAGTCATTGGACAAGCACAACAGAAATTCAGGATGGTTAGTTGTAAGTATGAAAGCTTTAGTTAGAGAGTATCTTCAATACTATTCTATGTAGCACCTCGTGGCAGCAAGTTTCAAAAATCCAGATGCAGCATATAGAACTCATGTGCAAATAATACAGGAGATACCAGCAAAGTGTTTGTCTCAAAGCACTGGGATTGTTCTGTTAAACCTGCTGTTTGACAGCTTTGCATTTTGCAATCCCAACACTGCTTGCAAACAATTTCCAATGAGTTCTGTTATTAAATATCCCTTAAGTATGGCAAAGCTTAGTGTATGCTTTTTACTGGAAGCATAATGCAGTAGTAGCAATAGGCACAAAGCAATAACATAATACTCATTTTGCATCTGGAACCTAAATATTTTAGCAGTTGAGAATAACACAATATTGGGTATGTAAGCTTCCTCCATAAAGGAGGAAATGAAGTTTATATTCACCATCCCTTGTTATGGTATTTTGTATGGTATTTCATATGGGAATTGTTTCTTTCATGCTTGATTTTTATCAAGATGATCATTCTGAACCTAAGAAAATTTTATCTATTGACTAACAAATTCATTGTCTTTTGCTTTATTTAACTGATGTAACTGGGCTATCTGGATAGCTGACCAAATAGTTATCCAACTCTTTGTAAGACAGTATATGGAATTTACATTAAGCTATATCTTTTATAATAAAGGCAAACAATACAGGTTAAGTGGATCTTTTATGTTTTATGTACAGATTTAAAGGGTTTCTGTGAAACTGCCTTCTCTCACTTTGCCAATTTTCAGTACTATATATAGTATACTTCAAAGAGCGATCCTTTAATTTACAAACACAATTTACACATTACTTACTGTTTTCGTCTGCATTCAATTGCTCTATCTATCCTGAACTCGGGTAAGCTAATGAATCCTTCTGCTTTTTCATCCTATCAAATGAGAAGAAAAAGCAGTTGTGAAGAAGAACATGAAGAGAAACGAGCAGTAGCCATTTGGGTCTTATACTAAGAACAAACATCCAACCAATTGAAACACTGAACATTTTCCACATAATGTTTTTACTTAAAGAAATATATTAACTTAATCATACAGTGTCAATAACTTTTATGAAGTAACTAAACTGACAATTATGTAAAGGAGCTGCAGTGATCCTAATTCCCCTTTGCTGAAGACTGCAGAAAACCTTTCAGTACCTAAAATAGCATTCAAGACATTGACAGCTACAGAGAATTCTCAGTTTCTTCATCACATAGTTTACATTTTAAAACTATTTTGTGGATGCTTCCTTTTAAAGTCACGATTATGCAGACCATCTGCCCTGCTAATAGTAATTGAGCAGGTTCCTACAGTGAGCTCACCAGTGATTATATCACCCACAGACCTGAAACAGCACTGGTTTAGTCTGACAAGAAACCACTAAAACTGAGGATAATTATGCTAGTAAAATTGTCCTCTTATGGAAAATGGAAAATATGGAGTAAAGTATCAGTAATCAAAGCAGGCTGTGACACTGACAGATCCGATTTGGCACTGAGGCTCAATGCATACAAATGGAAGAGCAGCAGTCTGAGGAATTTTGGCTTCTCCCCACCATTATTTTTTTCCTACATATATGCAGATTGCACAAGCGTAGGCCCAGTGATTTTCAATAAAATTTCGCCAAGAACAGTGTTTTACACACGAGAAACTGCCAACTCCAGACTAATTCAGCAAAAAGCAGGAGGAACATCTATGTAAGAATAACTCTCAGATAGAGATCTACAAATTCAGATGTTCACGTCTGCTTACATAATACTCCACTAACATGAATGGTTAAACTGTATACATCCCTACACACAACTGAAACTGAGGAGAGCTGAGTGTGAACACTGTTTTAGTCCAAATAAATGCTATCTGTGGAAAAGTATCAGTGACTGACATATTCATTTCTTTAAGAATGACACGAACATCTGCTCTTTTATTAAGTTTGGACATGGACTCAGAGACCTGAAAATATAATTTCAATTAAAATATTTCCAGCTAGAGCAACCCAGACCTGACAGTTAAAGTGGCAGTTTACTAAAATATCCTATCATGCAGTAAAAATAGACTTTATTCAAAAGAATTATAAAGCTTAAGGTTTCATTTTGGCTTTCTCCAAACACTGAGTATACTTACATTTTGGTTTGTGTACCAGTACAAGGCTGAATCCTTCAGAATAAACCAGTACTTTTTCCATTTCTGAGTGAAATAACCTTTGGCATCCTTTTTCTTCCATAGCCAGCCTTCACAATCTCCATGCCCCAAGTCTTTGCAGGAAATCCGTCTTCTGCTCCCACTCGTTAGAGAGCTCCCTGAGAAGGCAACAATAGTGTGAGACATCCCACTGAATGGAAGGGTGAAAGAACTATATAAACATGCTACTAATTTTTAATGAGGATTCAATTCAAAATCCTTGAAGCCAAATTCTCTCCAATTTCAGGGAGAGAAAATGGAATGAACTATTTCCAAATTTGACAGTGCTCTGCGATTTTGGCTTCAGCATGAATACAAAATGAAAGGGCCTGGTTTATGTAACGCTTTATTTAATCACTAAAGGGTTCATTCCTCTTAAGGCTGCATTTTTATCTGATTAAGATGGGCTGCATCATTCCAAAGTAAAAATGTATTAATTTAGCCCTCAGTCTGAAACTTAGAGAATGTCATAATCTATATACAGATGTAGACACTACTTCTTCCATATATCTTCTGTTACTACTTTTAGGAATAGAAGGCTTGTCAAATTCTGGGCATTTTTAAACTCAATTTTTATAGTCGATATTTTTAGTCAATAAAAAAGAAAGATCATTCACTTTCATAAAAATGCACATGCTTACATGTCTTCTATCCTGAATTTAACTGAAGAACAGTATTTTATCTTTACTGCATTCTGTTTAAAAGCCCAGCACCAGGAAGTTGGATTTTTTGTCTGTTATTTCAATACATCCTAATTGAGCAGCTTAAAATTATGATCCTAAAGAACAGGTTTTTGTCATAATTATGGCATTGTTTTTCCTGAAAAAGACTCTCCAGGAGATTAAAATGTTAGACATTTCTCTCTGAAAAATCAATTTTATTTTTCTACAAGAATTATATTTGTCGTACAGTGGAACAACTATGTTATCCTGTTGTGAAAGAGTAAAGAAATGTAGATAACATCAAAACGCCATCCTTTGTTCTGCAACATCCTACAGCCAAGTTCCTAACGTATTGTTCGTTTTAGAATAGCTGTGCTGTGTCCTGGTCAGGCTTAGAAGAATTAAAAATGTATAATACAATAAAAGGAAAGTGTTCATAGAAAGGATACTGAAGAAACAAATAGAATAAAAAGAGCACAGTGGCCATATGCTTTCATACAAATGTATTATGCTGTAACTAGTTCTCATATGGTCATTGCTTAAACAGTCTCAAATAGGCCATGAGTTGGTAAGAAACAGAGAAGAACTTAAGTGAGAAGAAATTTTACCACCACATCTAGCAACACTGTACCTTGTAACATATTTATTTAGTGTTTTACTTTGGGGTTTACAATCACATTGAGAAATAACTTAATGAAGTTGAATTTTGGCATTCGATCCAGATCATTTCTTATGAGAAAGGAAGTCTCATTTTCTAGTTTCAAAATGTTAACATAAGGAAGTTACCTTTTGACCATTTTCTGCTTTTTACCCTGAGGGAAGCGTAGTGGAATGACTGGAAGAAAAAAAACCAACAGATTGTGAAAACCCAATGCAGGTAACAGTAGGCTGTTCATGAAAAGGCTGGTGTTCACTCCCATCTCCATGGTTATCTTAGGATCCGTTAACATAGAATCAGTTATCATAGATCTCATTTCTGTCATTTTTCTCTTGCTGCCATTATAAACATCATAAAGAAAACACAGTTCTATGCCTGCAAATTGAAATCCCATTTTTTTCCCCCGTTATTAATTACAATTTAAATGAAATCATCAAGGATTCATTGCATGAATGGTTATGCAGTAGTTTGAAAACTAAGGATATAAACTCATGTGAGTGACCTAATAAAATGAATGATACCTGAAGTTTGTGGTAAGTATACATGAGATAGTTATACTCATTTAGAAAGAAACATCCATCACAAACATCACATAGTTGATGTGTAAAGCCATGTGCTCAATGACATGTTGAAGTCCCATTCTTTAATTGTTTCCAACTACAGAAAACAAGTGAGTTTTCTAGGCTGGTGGGTTGACAGAATAACTCTGAGAAGAAAAAAATAAATTCTTACTTTTGTGGCTGCATCATAAAAGCATTCTGGAGTCTTAAGAAAAACCTAAAAGCATCTCATTACTTTAAAAAACAGGGATACTACTCAAAAGATGGTAAAGATTTACCTCCAACATGTAAATTCTAGGGGAAAACTTACAAGTCAACATAATGAAGTAGCTGCCTGATAGGTAACTTATGCTGCCATTACCAGTAGAAAAACCAGTGACATTCACAGCGTGATAAACCAGCAGATCCAGGCCAAAAATAGCATAGAAAGGGCCATTTTTTAATTTTTCTTGACTTTTCCTTTGTGACAGATAACATTCAGCTCCACAGAGGGCCTAGAAGAAGGGTGCCACGGCCCCTGAGGGGTATCTCCGTGCTGCCTTAACTTGTGATATGACTACAGATAATTCCCTTCTCCCAGGCTGCTTACCTGACCTTAGAGCAGGTCCTCACCATGTGGTCAAAAAGCAAACACGTGCTATAAAAGTCCTTATTAACTGTGCTGCAGCATACTAATTGTTTAAATGTCACAATATGAAAATGTAAAATAACTGAGGATTACAATTGAAGTTAAAAATGATTTAAATTAATATAGAGAATAATGAAGGATCCCATCTTAAGCACTACAGAAAAGCAACAGCTGCAAAGAGGTCACCAAATATTGGAGTTTTATTTCAAATAGAAGTGGAGGAGGGGGGAGTTGTTTTGCACAGGCAGGGACCTGTTTGCAACCCTTAGCAATTCAGCCACTTTATAGCGTTGAATGGCATGAACGTTTTGTAGTACCTTGAAGAAATCAGCAATTCCTGACTCCTGAGGGAGCTGGCTGGGAGAACACAGGTGTTCTGTGCTCTGTCTCAGGCTGTTCTCCCAGTCAGTCACAGTATATGAATGCTTCACAAATATACTGCAATTCTGACAGGTGACAAGCTCTGTAAGTGCGTGTACGTTTTATCACTGTAACACAGCATGTATTCTCCATTTAAGCTGATAACTGCAAATCCATCCCTTTGTTTTGAGCACTAGAGAAGACGAAGATTAATGCTTGCTCCTATGCTATAGGAAAAGTAGTAAAAAAACAGAAAATGAAAAAAAACACAAGTAAGTCTGTGACAAAGTATCAAAGCTGCACAGCAACACTGAGGCCTTTATTCATGTCTTGCAAGCCAAGGCAGCAGTATTGGTCAGTCAAACTGTGCCAGCTGGAGTTCTGTGGTGACTGTCACTGAAACAATCTGTTCGATATTCCTCTTTCTGCATAAAAACGCAGTAGGACAGGGCAAGTCTCTATTTCTGAAAAAGAGATCACCAAATTTCTTCACAATTTAGGCTAAAAAAAATATGGTGATGGAATAAAAGCCTGTAATTAAATTACAGTTTTCATATGTGGTTAAAGAACTTCAAGAAAAATGGAGCAGCTGGAGGATACACACATCATGATCCTCAGCAGAAACTGGTGTGCACCGTTCCATATAAAAGTTTTGAAGTAATGAAATACAGACACAACAAATCGAGGAGAGCTTAAAATATTAACTCTTCTAAAAACATAAGTTAATTGGCCTTACTGTGTTTTGTTTATGCACACATACAACGTATTCACAGCAAGAAAACTGGAGAAAGTGAATGGTTTGCAATACCTTGAGAAACAGTACTCAGCACCGCTAGCTTACAAAATTCAAGCTTCATATTTTGAGATAAAGGCACTACTATATAATTAACTTTGTGGTAAATACTGTAGGAAAACATAACTTGCAACTCTAAAATGACTCAGAGTTGCTATGGGAGACAGATGATGTGAGAACACGATATGGTTGTCAGCATTTAAGTTCTCATCTCAAAACCACAACGCAAAGTAGAATGTTAAACAAAAAGCACACCCTCCCACCACAACTCAGACAGCAGCACGCCGGGGGGGGGGGGGGAAGAGGCAGAATTGAATCTGTGCTACATGAAGCTAAATTAATGAGGCCTCAACATAATCACAGTGTAGTAGGAGCAGTGCTGTCACAGCATCACCAAATGAAAAGTTCTGCTATGTTTAAAAAATGCCCTGGAGACTAGAGACGCAGTTACCTGTCAGGATGAAGGGAACCAAGCCTATTATATTAATGCAAGACTGGTTGCATGCACCTCTCCTATTTTGAGTCTAAAGAGTTTTTAGGGAAAACTATTAGGAAGTTCCAAACAGCCATCAGTGCATTCACTAGCAAAGTACACAAAGAATGGGGCACCTATCTGCAGTACCAGCATCCCTGGGAACAGCCACCGCTCTGTGTTCACCAGCAGCAGGCGAGGGAAGGATTGGCAGGTAGGGGCAGCATGTCAATAAACACAAATGCAGGTTCTCAACAAACCACAGATGTATTCATATATCTCTTGCTACTGTCACTGGTCTTTAGCCTCACTTTGTAAATATTTGGGAGGCAGAATTACATTGGTCAACTTTGAAAAGTTTTTTATCACCTACTTAGTGAAAACAGTGCTCAGTTAGAAGGAAGAAACATATGCACGCTGACCTGCTGTGGTTGCACTGAGCGTGGAAATTATACCTAGCTTTTTATTTTCAGCTGTTTCATAATACAGACAGACGTCAAGGTTTGTGATATCTTCTGTGGCTTTGAAAAATATGACAATTAATTGAATTTTTTGAGTTTTTTTTTTTTAAAGTGCATTTCTGAATCATTACCTTCCTCATGGATGTGCTTCCTTGATGGTCAATGGCAGAACTTGCATATCTAGGACAGGAAAGAAGAAAGATGTCAAATAACTACAGGGAAAAAATAATCTGAGTGAGTAGTGCACCTAGACACACACTCTGCTTTTCCAAGTCATTCCAAGTATGCTTACAGGTGTGATCATGTATCAAAACTATTTAAAATACAGCGCTTTGAATGGGAGGCCCTTTGGAAACGTAACCCTTGTTTCCAATGAACAGTGCTAATGTCATTAATAAACACAAAGCCATTCTTCATATTCTGATTTAAGAGCACATAATTATTCTGGGAATATTTAGTTCTGGTTCAACCACTGGCCTAAAAATACTCAACCCTGATCAGCTAGGATTCTGAAGCAACCAACGCAATTCCTCCCTCCTAAGGACTACAGTTTTAGGATACATTAATCATTCTTTGTTGCAGGGATAACTCTCATTTGTGCATTTCTTGCAGCATCAACAGCATTTAACACAGGTACAGTGGATTCCTAGTGCCCAATCTAAAATGGTAAAGATGAAGTATTTTTAAGCAGGAAAAAGGTAGACATATGCGTAATTTAACAATTCTGTTTTAAGAGTAATTTGCGTTTTGAAAATGGAACAGCTTATGGATTTGTATTTGAACTGATAATTCTGACCTTCAGGAATGACTCATAATGTTCCTTATTTCGCAAAGGTGCAAAATGTCATCCCCAGGACATTACAGACTCAAACCAAGGATAACTCAAACTGTGTAGTACGTGTCTTCCTTTGTGTTACTTTTTGGGTGTCTTCAGCAATGTATACAGGATGCCATGGATATAAAAAATTATGTAGCCTTTAAAATGCAAAAATATGATCTATGGAGTATCCAAGCTTTCTCCTGGAGGTCTTCAAAGGCTAGAGTACAAAGCAGGAAAGCATCACCAGATGCTTTCCTTATAAAATTACAAACAGTATCGGACATTGATGGAAACAGGACACTGAATCAGGTCAACTTTGTCTGATCTAGCACAGACACAATTCCCAGGGTTTAGATAAAATTTCATGTTTTCAGAAGTTAGAAAAAGGAGAAATGGGAAAATCCTAAAAAATGTGACTGTTTTTGTGTATGTCATACAAACAGAAAAGGAGTACTAGAATGGGAAAGGATTTGAAGGGGAAAATGGAGAAATTAAAAAAAGTAATCAAAGGATTGTGACATTTTTAACATATTCTCAAATTCTGTTGGTCATGTTACTATCTATCTTCAGTCAGCAAGATAAGAAGGGGCATTTTCTCATCAGATGATTTCCATTGTTAAGAGAAATCAAATTTACCAGTAGAAGCAACTGCTTCATTGTCAGTTAACAGCATCTCTCAGTCCTGAATCAAAGAAAATTTCCAGACAGCAGTGAAAAGATGGGATGCATAACATTAAAATTAAAACCATCAAAGTTAATAGGCAAGACTCAGAAACTCTGAGCTGTCTGTAGACTACAAGGGTTGAAAGAAACAACTGAAAATCAGAAAAGTTCAGCTTACAACAGTTAGTAAGGGAATGGACATACGCCTAAACCCCTGCAAGGCAGATTTTGTCATTACTACTCCATTTCTGTCTGCCCATGAGAATGCCATAAGTGCACTTCAGCCCTGCTGGGCATTTCTCCCCTTGTTTCTGGTCTGTTTCTTTAATCCTGGCTTTGACCCATCTGGAAAGTGTCAGTTCCAATGCTCCCATTCTTTCTCTCAGCCAATATACAATATGAATAATACATCTGTGTTTTTAGGTAAAAAGTCCTTAGTCAAGTTTTATTTGCTTCCATGCGAACACAATAATGTGTCTCCTTACAGTAATCACAGACTTTCACCGGCAACTATGTTGTAAAGTTACAGCAGCAGTCTGCAACTGAACTTTTGAAAGCTCTACAAAAGTTGGCGTGTTATGAAAGGTCAGAAACGGGTGTTCTAATGTACCATGAGCTTACTTTTCTTATTTGGGCATAGTTTCCAACAGTCTGCAAGAGGTGTTCTTGGTTTTGTGTTTGGTTTTCCTTTTTTTTTTAAAGATTTTATGTGTATCAAATGGTTTTCCTTTTTTTAAAGATTTTATGTGTATCAAATACTCCTCCCCAAGTCTAATTAATCCTCAAATATTCAAATCTGCAGGTCACAGAAGAAGAAATACTGATCTTCTCTTTAGGCAAGTAAATGATCTGTGTGAAAGTGGCAGACTCAATTATTTCAGACAGGAGGGAACCCTGGAATGTTGTCTATTCTGGTTGAAATACTCTGCATCATAATTACTCTTCACCTTTATTTTTAGGAAAAGAGTTGTTACAGAAGTAAAAGGGAAAAAAAGCGGGAGGGGGTGGGGGTAGTACATGCAGAGTATGGTTATAATGGCCTGGACTGATACATCTCAAATCAGTTAAAACAGTTGATGATCTCTAGGCACTTGTTTTCTTGCTCTTGTGTAATACCAGTTTTGAAACTGGCAGAATCTAGAGAAAGGAGGAGCCATCGCTTATGAATAACTTATACCAATTAAAAACCCCCCAAACCGAACAGTAACAAACCAAGCAATTATTTCAGGGTGTTTGCAGAAACAGTCAATGCAGAGCATGACATAAAAAGGGAAAATACTAAGCAGTAACTTTAAAAGGAATTTGATTTTGTAATAAAGCTCATTCTAAAATACTTATTCTATGATACAATTTTCCTCAAATGGATTTCTGAGGTATTCCTGTTTGACAGAAATGTAAAGGACTTGAGCAATATCTATTGTAAGTGGTGATAGGCTCTGTCTAGTTGTGTGGCATATACTGGAATTTCTATGGATAAAAAGGTTGCCTCCCTCTTATTCAGTCTTCAGAACTCTGATTAAATTATGTTTGTAAGCAAACAAAAATAAATATAAAAAGGGAAGAAGAATTAGAGAAATGCAAACACAGATCAAGGTTAAATACAGTCTAAATCTGGTGTCAGTATGGACTCAGTATTCAGGCTGAATGATGCTTCTGAGCATAGAAGTAGAAAGGTTAACAAGATTGAGCTAAAAAAAGGATGGGAATTTGACCTAAGTGGAAACAAAACACTGAAAATGTAAAGGACTTGAGTAGGTGTGGTAAATTCCAAATCCCATCTTAAAGCACATGCAAATGAAGTGCAAGTGTACTGATAAGATTTGTAATCAGGGTTTCAAATGAGGAGCAGTGTTGCATGATTAGAAAACAGTAATAACAAATCTCTGGAAAACAAACTAGAATGGAAAAACCTAGAAATATGGGAGTAGCAGGAGTACTATATACCAGTTTAATGTGTTTGATAGAAGCTGGAGGAATCAGAATGCAAAAACATACTCAGTAAAAGATTTCACATGAATGGTGGGAATTGTCACCTACCAAAGACTGCATATGTGAAATTAACAGCATAGCTGCGCACATTTCTGCACATTTGCTTTCAGAGCAGTTATATCTATTTAAGAGCAGCACCAGAATGCTGAGTAACCTGACTTTCTGTTCATACAAAACCTCTTTTGATAATGAACAGAAGTGACTTGCTACTGCTTCACAAAACAAGTCATCACTAAGCAAGTGCAACTGTGAATACCACCTCCATGTTGACACCCATTCCTCTTTTCCTTTTGAGGAATGTGTTTTCAGTTTCTGCCATAAAAAGATAACAAGACATCTTTAATTATCCCATAAACTTTAGTAAGGGATAGTGTCTTAGCTTGTAAAATATATAGAATATCTACCGAAAACAAGGACTGATTTCAACCAGCTGCATACAAATTAAGCATCCCTTGATCACATAAGCAATGCTCATAAAGAAAATTAAATAGAATGTCTCTTACAAATAGCAGTGCTCTTAATTATAACTTCCCAATTCTCTTTCTATTACCTATAGGATCACTGAATCCATCACTGAATGGAAGTTCTAACTGTCTCAGAATAAACTGATGTATCTTATTACATTGCTGTTGGTTTGGCCTCTCCACAGGTGACAGGATACAGATAATAAATCCCAATGAATGAATACAGTCTAGAAACAACAATAATTCTTTCGACTGTTACTTACCTTTTACCTCATCTTTTGTATCTGTAATAGTTACAGTCAATATATTCTGGCAGTAATGGATAGGATTATAAACTAGAAGTAATATAAAGTAATTCTAGTTATAACAAACTGCAAATATATATTTACCATTGATTAAACAATTTTGGATGTAATAATTTCTTTGATTTGCATTTATTTGACCAAACAAAGCAATCCAAACTTATTTTTTGACTATTCCGATTTGTTGGTTTTTGTGGTTTGTTTTTTTTTTTTTTAAATCTAGGAAAGTTTCCAGTAGGTAAAAAGAGAACACTTTTAGCCAGAATTTACTTCTGGAACAGATATACCTGGGTATGAATTACTGGTAGTGCGTTTCACGTTCTGTCATACTACAGCACGCTCTGAGCGTTCTGGCTGGAGACTTATGTGATCATCCAAGTCGCTGCACAGGCCATAAACAGACTGTTGTGAGAGTTTTTCTTGCTAGTCCTCTGTAGGATGGCTCCTGTTTCGCAAGGTTACATAAATGTAAGAGCTTAGGGACACAGCACAGATGATCAAGAGATGATTTCAAAGCTGCTGGTTAAACACTATGGACAGCAGTGATGCCTGTGCTTGAAAGCACACTGTTAATCCTTGCTGCCACCTGCATTTCTTACAAGCATACAGTGATTCAAAACACAGAGAGCCTGAGGGACAACTCTACTGCTCCACAGCAGCTATAAACCATTACACAATGGCACCTATAATCCTGCCTTTTTTATGTGGCAGACGCTTGGGAGATGTAAATTTATAGGTGAAAGGGGCATGCAAAACTCCCTTTGGCCTTCGTGTCTCACATTCTGAACTACTTCAAGTGCTATTTGGTTGCAGTTCGGGGTCAGGGGCACCATAATTAACTTGAGAAAAAAGCCCTAAATTCAGCATATTAGGAAACACGTTTGTGAACAAAGGTATTGTAGATACAATGTGAAATTTCCTCACAGCTGGTTCACAAGAGCACATATGTAGCAATTTCCACTTATCTACCTGGTCACAGGACTGCATTTTTAACCACCTTGCCTGGATTCATGATTTATATTGAGGTTATTAAAGCCTCCACAGCTTATGTAACCTATCCCTGACACAACAAGTCAATTCTCACTGCAAATTAATTATTGAGTATTTTGTAGTGAGATTTGAAATCCCGTCTCAGTTCCATGCTGGCTGAGCTACTGGCTCTGAACTATGCTACAGGCTATGACTTGATACTTCAAGTAACAGCCAGCTAGCTCAGATGTATCTGTACTGTTCCGCAGTCACTGCACTATCAGGGTATCTACATGCAAAGCTGACAGAACAATGTCAAGACTGAAAGTCATTTTCAAAGTATTTATCTCCTCTGACCTCTCCAGCACTAACCACGATCAAATAATTTCCGAAGCATGCTACTGTGGACATGACTAGAACAACTTTTAAGCGTTCATATTTACAAAGGCAAAATGTGTTATGAAAATAAAGCCTGAGCAGCATTTTCACATGGAAACTCAGTGCAAATGTTCATAAAACCTGTTTATTCAACTAGCAGCTATGCAATGCATGAATGATACAATTCCTTTATGCCTTCTCTTCCCCTTGCAGGCCTGCGTGGTTGGCTGAGCAGAGTAAACTCTTCAAACCCAAGATGCCTCTAATGATGGTTACATTACACACACGTGTCTAGAATCTAAATGTCAAAGTTTGCTATTACTAGAAGGAAAATTCTCCTAAAGTAAAATGAAGTTCAAAGAACACAGAGAACTGCGCTACGCATACAGTCAATGTCTGTCTGCAAAAAAAGCTGCAGCAGCGACTATGTGATAGGTGCCCATTACCCCTTTCTTCTCTGTAAAACAATTATAAACAGGGTAAACTGCTTCTGGTAAAAGGAAAACAAATGGGCTGCTTCTTCAGGAAGCATTTAAGTTAGCTTGCCTTCCTGAAACCTCAGAACAATCACACGTTAGTGATTCCACCTCCAATCGCAGAGCGTAATTTCCTAACTCATGACACCTGCTCAGAAGTGAAGTCACAACTTCCCTGTGGCTGCCCTACTTTTCTAGCCACAAAACTCCTCAAGAGCATAGCTCACATTTTTCTCCATTATCTGTCAGAGAGGGGCAGAGTTTAATGTGTAAATGGACAGTCTCTTATAATGAGGGGTGCGGGTGTTCTGTGTGGGTGGTGAAAGTCCAGCCCTGTGCATAGTGCTGGGCCAAATCTGTGTTGTAGATGTGCCAAAATAGTTTGGAGGAAACCAGAGTTATGATGCAGGTTTTGTTCTGCAGAAGCTAGACTTGCTTTACATTCTACTTATGCAATGAGTTTAAAAAGTGAGATATTCATAGTAACATTCTGTAGTTCTGTATCTCTCACATAGCTGCTAGTGGTTTTGGTGTATTCCCTGCAGCCTGTGGTACAGTCTGCTATGTACAAGAAACATCTTTCTTCTGGCTTTTGGCTTTCCTTTCTTTTCATAAACAAAGGATGCAGTCATATCATGGAAACTCAGTAGGCAACTGCACAGTTAATTAAGATAATGCTATTTCATCCAAATAATGTGACTCAATCCACATAGTTTGTCTCCCGCTCCCCAAAACCTAGCTGCATGTGATAAATATCTGAAGGGGTTTTATTTTGGTTTAAGCTGTTTAAACTACTTAGAAGAAGGTTATTAGGAACAAGAAGCTGTAATTCTGCCTCTTTTAAAATATTTTTCAACATGTTGAAAAGGTTGTGGACCTGAATTTTAGAATGACTGGGAGTAGGATTAGGAAAGAGACAGTCATTCTATGGAAGAATATTGAAGAATAGCCCTTTGCTATGAAAGTTCACCAAAATTTCATCAAGTCGTATGTCCCTGGAAAATATCTCTCAGCAGATGTCCAGTAGAGACTTGTGTCCTGTCCACAAAGCATGTTCCATCTGGGTTGCAATGTCCCTGCCAAACTGAGCATGTGCAATCCACTCGGAATAATTAGGCATGCTTTGTTCTGTGAAGAGCAAAATTCATTTGCTCCTTCTGGTTGCAAGAAACTATGGGTGGTGGAGAAGGAAGACAAAAACGGGGTGAGGCTTTTTTAGGAGTGGTATGTGATTTCTTTCTGTTGCAGAAAGTCAGGTAGGAAGGACCTGAGGGAAGGAGCAGCCATCCTGGAATGAAGAAGGGTGAGAAAAGGGAGTGACAAAAAGTAGGGAGAAACAAGTGTGAGGGAAGAACAGGACAAGAGCACAAGGCATGAAGGAGTTGGGAGATTAAGTGAAAAGAGCAAATGCAGAAGATTCACAGAAAATAGCAAGTTCTGAAAACTCCAACATGAGCAGTAAGGGCAAAAGGCGAAATCCAACAGTTACTTAAAAAAGAGACTGACAATGACACACTTTTTCCCCATGTAACCCCTGCCTTACACAAGATACAGGCTGCTTTGGTTCTGAATTGTAACTAAGTGGGACTATATTAATTTATTGTAAAAATAAAAACCTACATTTAGCTGAGGTGATGGATGACAAGGTAATGAACTACTACAATGGTGACAATGGAGAGACAAGCCTGTCTTGTATAAGATGAAGTAGAATTTTAACCTAGAAAAAGTCTTTCAAACTCTACCTTTGTCTCACTATCACCTGTGATAATGGTGCTGTTCGATTTAGTTGAATGCTGTTTTAAATGCTCACAGTACCCTACAACTGGTAAGCATCAGTAAATTCTTTTACTGATTACTGTAATTACCATTACAACTGTCTCTGAAACGAGCTACAATGTTTAATACACATATACAGAGGCAAAAATGCTGACTTTCCTGAAAGATCAGGCAGGAGGTGACTTGTATTTATGATCAGCAGCTAGTATCATTGTGCCTCAGACTTCCAGCTGTAATGTAGTGGTACTTATATCATTGAAGAACATCATTGTGAATTGTAAATCCTTTAGATTGGTGAAAGCACTCTAAATTAATTACTGATTTTACATTCAGTGCATGGTTTAACTTCTTAAACAGGTTTAGGCCATATAGAGGATGAAAAAATATTAAAAAGAATAACTATGAACTAGATGAACAGATTCCAATTAGACTTAATTATGACGTACTATGATACCCAAGTGTTTGCTATTTTAAATTTGTTCTTTTAATATGACTTACTGCACGCAACTAGAGTACGAACATACTTCATCAGATAAACTGCAATGGAAAGAGAGACAAACCCACTGTTGTAGTATATTTTTTTCCTCCTCCTAATCTTTAATAGACTTACATCTAAAATAGATTTTTTAACTTTTGGAACCTATATTTATATTTGATGTCAGTAAATGAAAACGAGGACGTTTACTAAATTATATTAATGCCAATATCACTAAATCCTGACAGTTTATTTCTCAAATATTGCAACTTAATTTCTGGGAGTAAAGAAGTGAATGTAATTTATAGATACATTATGTAGGTATTTAAATATAGAGTAACAGAAGTAATTACCTTTCAGTATCTCCGCTGATTGTGTCTCCTGCTCTCTGTAGAAGAAAAACAAATAGCATTAAGCACGACTAAAGACTACGTATACTTCCTGGGTGCACTCAACATAGGGGTATCTGCAGCAAGAGAAGTCACAGAAGTAAACCACAGTAGTCATTCTGTGACTTCAAGGAAAAGGAAATGGAAAATTTAGTTCAATTTCTAACTAAATGTTCTTTCAGAGTGAATATCAAGCTTAAAGCAATTTGCATCTGCACTTATAGCTTCAGCTGCTGCATAATTGTGATCAAAGCTCGTTAAAATAAGAAAGCTAAAAATTTGTCATAATGTCAGTGTTTGCAAAAATATTTGTATTTAAAAGGGAGTTTAAATGTAAAGGACAAATATTAGAATGTAGTATACAGAATTTCAGAAGAACAAACTGTCACCAAAACTTTCTTTAATACTGTTCTCACCTAGCTTTATATAACTTGATTTACTACACTGGTTATTCCTCTGAGGTTTGGAAATGAACTTGTCTTGCAGTAGTAAGTGATTCAAGAATGGTTCAGCTGTAACACTAATTAAAAAATAAAATCTTCTGACTGTTTTTGTTACTTTAAACCAAGCTTTATGATGGAGGTTTCCCACAGCTTGAAATTTCAACAAAGTATGCTTTAAAATGAATGTGTATTTGTTTGTAAATGTAGAAATCTGTACTTGAAAAATCTTTGACTATATGCTTTCTGACCAACCAAGCATGAAACAGATTATTTTTTGTAGGTATAATATTTGTGTTTTAATATCACCCCTTTACGCATAGAGTAAGGTACTTAATCACATGTGACTTCAGGGAACAGCTACAAAACTGAAATTCATGCTGCACATTTAAAAGACAGGAAGTCTGCTGGGTCTGTGTAACCACATGGGCTGTAACACAGATATATTCTAACAGCAGGCTTTTCTAAGAAGACTTTAAAATCTTCAGGGCACAAGTATGTATTTTGCCACTCCCCTCCTTCCCCTATTCCTTTGGTGTATCTGTATACAGAATCATTTCTCATCTTTTACCTTGCTATTTCTACTATAGGTTATAGGTTCACCACTTGAAGAAGGCAAAAACACCTTAAGTGATCAAGTTATCCTGGTATATAATATATATATGTATATTATATAAACTAATAGGTTTGCACTGGACTGATGGTACCATAGTAATATGAAAATACATCAAGAGTCCTTTTTGTCACCTGCTTGCATCTAATAAGAGAGTTATCTAAGCTAAGATCCAACAGACATCTTCCCCACAGCATGACCATGTAGATCTACATGACTCTTTTTCTTTTCTCTTAAGCGTTCCTGTTATCCAAAGCATTCGTCAGATCCAAATGAGAATCAGCCTCCTACGGGAACATCGTGAACAGACAGTAGGATTATTAATGGCAGAGATTTATTTCCAAACTATCAAGCATATGAAGTTACTGACAGCCTATATAAAGTCAAAAGTGGATCACTAAATCAGTACATGTTTCATAATGATTATAGGGCTAAAACTTAAAGAATGGCAAGCACTCCTCTGAGTGCCATTCTTTGACAGGTTTGTGTTTTAACTGCCACAGCTAACCCACACTCAAGGCAGAGAATATATCATGGCAAAAGTGTTTTCAATACAACAAAAATGACGCGCAATTAAATGTTTTCACTTACGTAGCCTTTCCTGTCTCTTACCTTCTGCAATATTAGGATGCTACAAATTTTACAAGTAACTTTTGATTTTCGTTTGTTGCTACATTAACTACTAGCCTTTTACTTCTGGTATTCTGCAAATATTCTAGCAAATACAAGTATCAAAGATGGTTACATTCAAATAAGAGAACTTAGCTATAATTAATAGTGTGTAACTTGTGTAACTGCACAGATAGAACACTGACCATTACTTGCATGTGGTAGACTCCTATCTACAATTTCAGCAACCTTATATTTCAGCAGTTGCTTTGTTCCCAAACTAGAATTTTACTTCATCTTACTAAAAGGCCACTTTCATGACTAGTAGACATGTGGGAGACTCAGGAGGCACAAGTCTTGTCGTGCTGTCACAGACTATAAATTCACAAAGTCTGTGAAATTCAGGTCACTGGCACTTATCAGCATTCTTTAGTGAGCTGCACATTTATGTAGCTCTAGGGGTTTTAGTGGATCTACTTCTCACTTGCACAAGTAGCAATGAAAGGACAATAAGGCCTGTGAAGTCTAACAGGGATATCTGATGGTCCTCTCCCAAAGCAAATCCTGTAGAAACTTCTATTTGCCTGAAATTTCTACAAATAACTGACAACAAAAAACCTGTTTCCTAGAATCAAGATTTCATAATGCAAATAAATATTTCCTCTTAAAAAGTAAAGAAAACACATAAATCAGAAAACAAAAGAACCCTGAACTGCAGAGATAGTGTGAAAACATTCAAAAGTTGTTCTTGTAGTTTACTAGTGGAAATGACTAGAATAGCTGGGAATGAGACTAAAAGAATCTGACAGTGAGTGTTACTAATCTCAGTGGTCAAATGTAATGTATTCAATACCTCCTAGATATGTCATTTATTCAGATGGGAAAAAGATTTTCACCATTCTGATGAATACTGTCCTTCTTCTATGCTCAGATACTGAATTCCATGCAAAAAATGATTTCTTCTCCTGCTTCCTTAACTCACATACTCATTATCCTGAGCATCACTTTTACATTATGTTTGTTTCAAAATCAAAGAGTAGCCTTGTTGCCGGGGGCTTTACTGATCTCTCCAGCTCAGTGAGCTGATGCTTAACCTATTGAATACACTTGTGAAATGATTATGCTCAGCTAAAAATGAAAGCAGCATTTGAGGTTTTTCTACCACTTGCTCTCTTTGAGAGGTGAGATAATAGAGACAGGAAATAATCTCATGCAATCTGTATCTATGCACATTTCAGAGGTACTAAATTTTTAGGCTGAAAAAAACACAAAATGACAGATGAGAAAGTTAACTCAAGACAGAAGAAAATATCCACTCAGAATGTTTAATTATGTGGTGCACTATGAACATTATATCAGCACACAATAGGTAGCAGGTTAAGCAACAATTTTTTTAACTAATCAAAATTCCATTTTTGGAAAACTGTTACATCCCAAAGAGAAGCTATCCCAGATTATATTTGATGTTAAAAAAGTATTCTGAAAGAATGAATAAAGGAAGAGTGTCTTGTGGCTAACAAAATTTATCTTATGTGTTAAACTGAAAAATAGTCCAAAAGGACAAATCACAACAATAGATAAACCGTGTTCTGTGTTGACCAAAGCCTACCTTTGTCCTCATCAATCCACTCTTTTAATTTAAGGGAAACAAAAGATAAATTTTTATCTGAACAGCAAAGGTACAAAAAAAATAATGAGAACAAAATATCAACACACCATCAAAAAAACCCCAAACCCAGGACAAAAGTTCTTTTCTTCAAAAACTAAGAATAAATCCTGCATTCTTAAAAAATGGGTGAGGTTTTCTTGGTCAAAGAAAATCAGTGTATTCACTTTTAAATATATTTGTGTTCTCTCAAACTCTTCTGTTTTTCTGGAGCAGACACCAGATATGATTTTGTTGAAATAAACCAACTATAACTATGGTATTTTAAGGAATGAGCAATCATTCCATGTTGCATACAAGGAATCTTCATCTTATACATGATGTAGAGGGACTAAAGTGGACATTCACTTGGATTATCCACTAAAGTTTAGAGAATTTTATTTTATCACAGAAAAATTCCAAGGCAGAATATAGTGCCATTTAATAAAAAGCATGGTGAAGTTTCACAGATTTCAAATGAAAAACATAATGCAGTTCTTCCTGGTACAGCTGGAAATGCAATCACATGAAATTATGCCGGTAGAGATGGAATGTATTTCTATCTGCAACTTTCCACTGTCACAAAGCACAAACATTTTCTTGCTGAGAAGATAAGATCATCTGACATGCAGCTCAGTATTCAGCAGTGATTTTGCTGCACAAGACTCCACAGGAAAGGAAAGGAAAGGGAAGTGGAAAAAGGGGAATGGCCTTGAAGTTGAAAGGATGTAGTGTAGCTCAAGAAGTTAGACAGGCCAGGGAATAAGACAGTCAATTCTTTCCCCTTCCTTTTTCTCACTTTCTCCATTCTCTAGGGACAGGCTGCCTGTGACCTGTCCTATTCAGGACTGGCCTCATGCAATGCTTTCCTTCATCCTCCAAAGCCCCATCCTCATTCTCTTGGTGAGGAACATAGGAAGCCTGCTGAGAAGATGTAAAGGGCAGGAACCAATGCTTGAACTAGGGAGGGAGAAAAACTCGGAGGAGAGTCTTCAAAGTACAACAGCTGGCTTCCCATGTACTGATCCTTTTGTCAGCAACAGTGGGAGATGATATTTGTGTTATGAGTTTGCGTATTATCATTCCTCTGGATTATATATGTTGAGATTATGGGAGTAATAGTATCAGTTATGGCTAATATTTATGAACAAATGCTCATACCTCAGCTGAGCTTCACAAATGCTCTACAGAGATGGGTGCCCACACGATGCTTGGTTGAAAGGCAGTATATTATTTCAGGAGTAAGCTCAACCATTTTACTAAATTGCTTCTTTATCCAAAAAGGTCTACCTGAAACAAAGCTGGTTTGTGTGCAGATCCATGACCTAAATTTGGTCTAACGTAGAGAATCCATACATGGTTTTCATTTTGCATTATGCACAGGGGGTAAAGGGTACCAGAAGCTCAGACTGAATGGTGATTTCTCTTCATTAGTGGAGTGGAGATCAAAGGCAAAACTTTTCAGCATGACAGAACTTCCATTGTGGAATTAGTTGCTCAGCACTAAATCCTAACACAGATCCAACTGCCTTCTTGCTTCTTCTTATTGCAAGTAGGTGTTTTTTACAGAAATAAAGGACAACCATAGTTCTAGACTAACACTGCTTTAGGCCTTTTTTCCTGGATTCAGGTTGATTGTAAAGTTCAGAATTACTGAATGAATGTGGAAATCTACAGGCCATTGACAGTATTAATAAAAAAGAGTATTTTTTAACATTTTATTTCCCTTTATTTTCCTTTGTACTGTAAAATGCCTTTTCCCTTTTGAACTGTTTATAGATCATTGAAGAGTATACTTTAGAGAATCATCTCTGAACAGAACTGTGAAGAAATATGTTATTGGATATTGCTACTGAAGGATCCTAGATACTCGTCATGTGCACAGTTATAGTACAGCACATATGCAAAATCTTATTTTAAAATCAATACAACTGGACAGAATTGGTGTGAAGCTACAGAAGCTAAATAGACTTATATTAGCTTCTCTGAGCAGCTAGATTTGATATAATCATTCTCACAGTGATTTCTCAACATAATTGCAAGGTAGGGAAAGAAGTTTTCAATATTACAGAGATTTAAATTAAAAGCAAAGGTAGACTTTATTCAGCAATTCAGAAAGGAAATAAAACTGTGAAGAAAGTAATTCTCATCCTTGACAGTGCAGTTTTGTTTCTCCCTGCAGGACCAGGAAAGAAGAAATAAAATATGAGGACTTTTCCTTCCTACAAAATTGGCAGTAAGAGACTCCTCCTTCAGTCGTATGGAACTGAATACATAGATTCTCCCAGACTTAGTTGTTATAGCACTCAGGCTGCCTATCACCAGAAGAGGCATCTGGAACATCTGGCCCATCCCAGCATGCAGCATTACAGGAAAAACAGATCTACATTGGTTTTGGACACATTTTAGGTCTCAGCATGAGCCATTAAATTTTATGTTGTTTGTCACGCTGACTTCTACAGCTCCAAGAACAGTTAAATAGCATTTACATCACTTTGTGCTAAAAGGCATGCATTACCAACTTCCTGGGGTCAGCAGGAAGAAAATAAAAAGCAAATTAAGCAAATGCTGTGAAACAATGACTAACCCTGAACTATTATAATGCTTCAAGTTACCTTTAAAATAAAAAGGGACTCCTGCCATAATATTCTCAATGACTACCTTGAAGCAGTCGTTATTTCTGTTATACTGCACAGGGAATATTGAAGTGAAAAAATTTATCTTAAAATTAATTAAAAATTAAGTCCCTTCTACATATCGAATTCTAATTCACAAAAAAAATTAGAAGATTCAATAGTTTACAATCCAATTTCTTAATATATGACACGACAAAACAAAATATCCAATTACTTAGTAGATAATAAGCCCAGAACATTTACTGCCAAGTAAAACCAGAAAAGAGATCATTATCTTGTTTGAGAATTTAATGTAGTAACCAGTAAATTCAATTTCAGAGTTTCAGAAACTAGTGCAGATCTAAGGCAGTAAAACCACACAGTTGAACACCATGTAGATTTTCAGACTGGGTCTGGAGTATGAACTTGATGAGCTAATATTCTTCAGAATGACCTCTTGTCAATAGAAAATAAAAACACATCCAGATTTTAACTCTTTTCTAGCAAGCCCAGAGTCAAGCCCAACAGTGCATTTCAACAGTCTCTAATGGATATACTTTTGTGGTATTTACATATACCTCATTGTTTAGCTTAATCTGGTAAACAATGTCTCTTCAGAAGGGAAGCATAGTAAACATTGGAAGTCATGTTCTAAGAAATACTTTATTGATTAATAATTAACCATAATAGCCTTGTTAATTGTAATTGACTCTCCTCAAATTCTGTGACATCAATTAAATTAGCATTATAAATATATCCTGAAAGGGGCAGTGTTTCTTGACAGTGATATTTTACTGCAACATAGCTTTATGCATCATTTTATATCCTGGGCATACTGCCAATGTTGCATTACCTAAATATCCATTTTATATAGTAACTCTGCATCCTCACAGCAACTTATGAAATCAGCCTAATTGTTTAATTTTAGGTTCCAAATCAACATTCTTTCCAAAGCATTAATCTAGTGGTGAATCTATGCAATTACCCATTTTGTAAAACTTCTTACGTCTGTGTCTGGTAATTTAAACTACTGTTAAGTGAGTGCCTTTTTTGTGTGTGTATGTATTTATGTAAGTGCTTAGAAAATAAAGCAATGGCTAAGCGATGCTGTGTATCTCAGTTCCTCCTTCCATCATGCCATTCTTGTTGGCTTAAAAGACACAATCAATCACCTTCCCTTTACTAAAGATGGCTAAGATCCTGTTTAGCATTATCATCTCCATTTTTCAAAGCATTTAGGTAGGCTTAAATTTTTATCTCTATCCCAAAGTTGTTCTGGGCATGTATTAAGTGTAGAGGAAATAATGGAAATTTGATTATAACAGTTCTGCAGTTTTGACTTCCATAAAAAAATAACCAACAAAAAAAAAAAACGAAACCAGTTTTGTCATCTGATAGTACTACCTCCAGGCAGCTGCGAAAAGACAAAACACAGAGCAGAAGAGCAAGGAAAAGGTAAGCTGACTTCAGACAAGTTCTTCTTATTATTTCTTTATTTTTAATATGAAAGTAACAAACGCTGGTTTATAGTGACTTGGTTTGCTAATGTTTAGAAGTATCTTCTTTTTATTAACCTTAATCTTGCTGTAGACTGAATTCTTGATAAAATAAAATCCAAATAAATAAATTAATGTGCTTATGAAAGTCCCAGTAACACCTTTAGATGTGAGATGATCTACCTAAAACCTAAATTTTAATTCAGGAACACATCTATCTGTTATTTTTATCTTCCTTTTTGTTACCAAAAAACCATTAAATATTCTTTGATATTTAACATTTTCATTCTGGGTAGATATCTTTCAGGACAGATATGCCAAACAGTGTTTTGCTTCTCTTTTCAGAATTCTTTCAGTATTCAAAGTGGACAGATGCGAATACGAATGATTCTGTACTGGCAAGAACCCACAAAACCTGTGTCAGCAACTCTTGTATATTTGTTGACTCAGTTCCTCTTGTATATTTATAAGGCAGTTGACTAAGTGCCTGAGATATTCCGATTCCTATGACTATCTGCTTAAGGACTGCAAAGGTCTGTTTCTAAAGTTCAAAACATGTATGGTGATAAAAGAATTTATACCACTCTCTCAGTCAATGAATAGTCATTTTACATGTGTCCACCTCTGTAATTACTACACATTGTAGTAGAGTTTATGAAAGAGGTACTGCACTGACTTCTTGGGTAGACCAACCACTACAGATAACATTATCTCCTTTTTTCCGGTTTCCTGTATTTCCTTCAGACCCTTCACATTTGATGTATTATGTCATTAGTTTCATATTTATTGTGCTATCCTACAATATCATATTACTAATTTATCTTGCCTATTTCAAATAGTTGCATTCATATTAACATGCAACGAAAGCCACAGAATGAAGAGCTGCTCCTAGTGACAGTGACTTACAGTTGAAAAAAATAATATAAAACTGTGTATTTGTTGCAGACATTTAAGATAATATTTCTATTGAAACTTCTGTTACTACTGGTGATGAGAAATAAATAGACAATGAGCCTGGGAACTTAACCAATAACTATCATTATTTAAAGAGTGCAATTAGCATCTTACCCCATATGACTCATATCCCTTTCTTCAGAAGACAGGTGAGTCAACAGACAATCATCACTCTTCCAGAAATTACCTAAAGCCAGTTGATTCATCTACCATCTTATGAAATAATGTTCAGTTTTCTGCAGACTTGCATAATTTTCTCATTCATCTTAAAAAATGAACTACTGCTTTTCTCTCTGGATCTGAAATCCTTTTCTGTGACTTTGTGATCCCGATAATCTATGCAAGATTTTTATATACTTACATGATAAAGTGGAACTGTATTGTTTTCTGCCAGTGAGAAATTCAAGACATCTTGCTGTCCAGGTTCAAGCCTAATATTAATAGTAGATGCCAATACAGATGGACTAATAGGGTAATTTGTACTGCTTGTGGGTTTGCCCTTTTTTCTTGATCTACGACCTGTGTCCCTTTTGTTGTCTTTTTGTGTCAAAGGCTCTTCTTGGATAACCAGTATCTTGTCATCACTCAGATACCGCAGGAGTGAATTCTCAGAGTCAGTTGTTGGAGGAAAAGAAAAGAAAAAAGAAACATTAGTAAGAGGAAACAAAAAGAGAATAATGAAAAAGGAAAAAAAAGAACTTTGCTATCACCATGCTTCTTGCAAAGTTCATAATTCCCACTGGAATCGATAGAAACTTATTCAATTAGGACTGCTGGTCTGAACACTGACAGTACAATTGCAGAGTCTTGTTTCAAATACTTATTCATACTAATTGAAACCTGTCTCAAAGAACATAACATCTATAACATCACTTACTGCTTTCTAGAACTGTGAAGATTAAAAACTGATTGCTGTTAACATATATCTGAATTTTATAAGTTTTTTTTTCCCCTTGATGTTTATCTTTTTTTTTATACTACAATTAGATAGAGTAAATCCCTTCTACTAATACAAACTTTTTAATTAGCAGAAACACAAAAGCCCAGATACTAAACAGGTTCTTTTATGTTCTCTGTGGTACTCAAGAAAAACAGACTGGCTTCCTGTAATGGTATCTTCATGCTTCTTAGGTAACAAAGAAAAAAAACCTTGGAGAACAGGACAGGAAAAAAAAAATACTCACCTCTGCTTCCCCTCTTGTACATGTTTTGTTCTTTTGACTCCCCTATCCAACTGTACTCAGTAGGCATAGAAACAGGCCTTAAATCTCCTGGAAACAATCCCAAGATAAAACATTATAATTTTTGAAGACTAAAAGTAGTGGCAGTATAGATTATGTTTATAAATTACAGTCATGACATGACCCTTCAGAGCAATCCTTTTTATCAGCACCTATATATTATTATAGGTGTAGCATTCAGGATCAATTAAACACCATATATGCTGGATTCTCCTCTTCATCATACCAATCTGAAGGAAAGTACCACTACTTTGGTGAAATTCCTTGCAAATGGGAAGTAGATTACAAATATGCTTTTGAACTCTGTTCTGTAAAAACTTGCTCACCCATTAAATAGATGTTCTGGAATAATTACAGAATCAGTTTTTAAATGGACTAATATGCTTTAGTAAAACTAGAAAGACTGTTAATACAGATAGAATATTATGTATGTATCAATTAAACAGTAAAACCTCTCTGGCCTGGAAAACCACATGGTGATTAATAAGGGGATCTCATTTCAAGAGCATGAATTTTAAATGCCTTAAAAAGAAAACACGGAGCGCAGTTTGGTAACAAAAGCAACAACAACAAAAAAAGAAGATTCAGACATTAAGGGTTTTATTAATACACTTTTATTGCTCTGTGGCTGTAAGATATAAATGGGCACTAGTCATTCCCTGCTATAGTATCAGTAGAACATTAATAGCAGGCCATTAAAGGAGGAATACTGCATACCCTACTATAAAGCATTAGCACTCTGGCCTTGTCAGTGTGCGTTATTATCACAAAACACAGAAACACACCCTCTACATTATGGGTTAAGTTCTGTCTGACCCATAAAGCCAAAGATTCATGTTTCCATGTACCAGCTGACTAGACTTCGTGTGTTTATTGAGCACTCGAACACATTTTTTTAAGGTAGCTTGCTACTGTTCTGTTTCTAGGATAATTATGGAACTTAAATGTGAACAAGTGTTTCTTTTCCATTATGAATTTTCCCAGGTTGATTTGAGTGACAAAGTATTTTCTGTGGCTTATTTGCACGCCAATATAGTGTTTTATTCACCATTCTTCCAAAACACAGGTTCGTAGCTACCAAAATGTTGGGAAGGATTTAAGAACAAACAGGTTTATAAGACAAGTATCCTTCTGGGTAACATGGTTTTCTGCAAATGGAAGGGATAACACACCTTAAGTACTGAGATACTCCCATATTATACTTCTACTCATACCATAATAGTTAGTGTATAACTAATTGTATGGTAAATAAATGTTTCCCTATCTGCCTGACAGTTGAAACTAACTACAAATGTATTATTCAACTCCCAATCTCAAATTTGGTGTTAGAAGAACAATACAAATTTAAGAAATAAATCAAACAAAAGGACGAATCAGTAATATGGAAAAGAATGAGAAACAAGTGAAGATTATAAATTTAAAAAAAAAGAGAGAAAATAAGAATGCACATAACAGATGATGATCAAAGTAATAAAACTTAGCAGTATTTCTGTAAAGAGAAGTAAGGTCTGGAGCTCTGGAGAGATTTGTAACACAAACGCTAGATAACTCAGCACAATTGACATCAGAGTAGAAATACAGGAAAGGAAGCACACAAGCCAAACAAAGGAACCAGTGATTTTGCATATTGCTTATTTTGCTTCCAAGTTCTTTTGCAAACAAATGTAAGTAAACTATGAAGTGTTTTAACATTGCAACTTGGTCATTTAGAACTATACAAAATTACTTTGCACAAGTACCAGTATAAATCAAAAACAAAAAAAAACCTCCAAACTTACTTATGATGTTTTTGCCTCTAACACATAAACCAGAAACAATTTGACAATGCTTTGCCACAAGAACTCTAAATACCATAGCGTGTTAGAGTAGGACTAATGTTATAGTACAACTCTTGGTAAGACAAAAAATTCACTGCAGCAATGATAAATACAAGCTTAACTTTAAAAAAATGGTTCAAGAAAATGAACTTATCTGCCTTCCTAGATTTTGCATATATCATCAATATGGACTGTCTCATCTGCCTGAGTATCCTGCCACCTACCTGCTGCATCAGAGAGTGGATTTTAATAAGCACTTTAATTCTGTTAGATCCATGTCAGGATCTTTCTGAACTGTGGCCTATGTGAGTCCTTGCAATACTGAAAGTGTCTGCTCAACCATCAAAAACTTCAGTTTTCATTTTCCTTACTTTGCCCATGGCCATCTGGCTCCAGCATTGGATAGGTGTTAATTGGATCTACCATAAATCCTGTCTTTCCACCCAAAAGACATATCGTCACTTTGAAGGGTCAGATGCATATCTTTAAGTAAAAAAAAATTAAATACTACACATAAGTAGAAAAAAAAGATCTCATTTTAAGTCTGATATAATTGACAGATTAATCTGTAGTTTAAAAAAATTGGGTTTAACAATTGGTTTTGAAACAAAGGCATATTCTTGAGACTTTAAAATAAAATTCCCTCTAGATTTTCAAGGTTACAGAAAATCAGAACTGTCCATCAGAAACACTAGAAAAATCTTGCATATTACTGGGATCAGGCAGAGTGCCCAACATTTGAAGTCATTGTGCAGCCTGATTCTATGAAAGCAAGCCAAATACATCCACCTGGCTTCAATTTTAATCACAGTTAAGACTTATCTTTCTTTCTAATTTTATTATAAAATGATGTCACTTACCAGGTGGATAAAGACTGAATATTACTAGTCTTAAGATGGAATCCCATTCTTCAATGTTACAGCTTCTTCAAGCATCAAGTATATGGCTGTACTAGTTACTAAAAATATCCTATATCTCACAAAGATTTATTAAAGCTTCCCTGTTCTGAAAACACAGTATGTGAATGTATATACACAATCCTGTCCATTTTATAATGGCTATTTTTTCATTTTTTACTGTAAATCCAGCTGTAGTTATCAAAACACAAATACAGGACAAAAGTCTAATTGGGAAACATAAGATAAGCTTGGTTTCAATCTAGTAGAACAACAAAGCCGAAACAAAACTTGGGAAGATGGATGTCCTTTGTCGGAAAAGTCTAGCTACGGTGAATTACCACACTCTAGCAGTGATAGTTCAATGCATTTTGACATAATTTGAAATACCCTTGCAGCTTTTCAGATTGTACCCTCTCAGCTCTTGAAACAGCAGGTGAGGTTACTTTACTGCCGCTTATTCATTGACCTTAGGCAAAAGGTAATACAGCTGAAACCTTAATCAAGGTAAGCCATGTAAACTATGTCATAGATACCTCACATAAAATAAGAAAACCTCAGCAAACGGATCCTGACAGAGGAAAATGTACAGCTTAACTACCAAAACCTGTTTTGGCATCTGGAGCCATCAGCTCTAACTCTTCTGACATTTATGGTGGTCAGAACACTTCAGTCTGAGAACAGGGATGAGAAGCTGCGTTGGCTTGGCTCTAACAACTGAAAGAAGCAGGGGAAGCTACATTTAATAACACACATGGTATCAAATCCTGCACAAGACCAACCACTTCTGTGGCAGACCAACAGAATCAGTGCCTGGAGTGCTGAAAGATTTTTCTCCCCCCCCCCCCCAAGTGTATTCCATTTCAGCTGTTATTGGATCTTTCACTATAACTGCCTTTGGTATTATCTCAATTGAACTGCAGCATGTTTTTATTACCTGGGTTCTTCACAGGCACATTTTTCTTTACTACTCTGAGCTTGTGAGAGGTTTTCCCTTTCCTAGATATCAAAGACCAACAAAAATTAGGAACTTTTTTTATTTTTCTTTTTTTTTCTTTTTTCTTTTTTTTTAACAAAATGTGAGAAAGGAAAAACCTGAGTCTCAGAACGTTTTCTGAGTTTCATTCTTAGGTGAATGAAGTACGTACTGATGGCATTGCGCACATATATATATATATATATATATACACCTTAAAAGATATCACCTATCCATACATAATGCTATGATCAGGACAAGTTCTCTCTTGGCTCAGAAGTAATGCTATTTTCAGAAGCAGATGTAATAACAGTTCTTAAAAGAAAACTGTTAAAGTGGTAAACTTTACAGAAAAATAACTTACTGCCTTAAAATAAAACTGCTGAAACTATATGGAGAATACAGTGTTATATTTCGATTGTGTTCTTCCAAAATTCACCAGAACCAAGGAAATAGATTTTAACAGATGAGCAAAAAAAACCCCTGTCAATTCATTTTCAGCAATACATTTTATATAGATATGTATAGTCATATACAAGGTACATACACATATACCTGTACACTCATATGAATTTACATACACAAGAAATTTCCATATAAACCCACAGTAAATTATTGTTTTAATAGCATCTTAGGTTTTAAGCAGTCCCCAGTCTAAGATTTGGAAATATATTTCTGGTATTAACAAATGCACTGTAGGATACTAATGTAATTATATCAATTTAATACAGCACTGAATTTTGGAGGGCCTTGCATCTTACAGATACTTTCATACTCCAGTAAGTCTTTTCAGGCCCTCCACTGAAGTTTAGCAGGCCACAACACTGCAACTAAAATAATCTCCAAGAGTTTGTGAATGAAATTGAGTAAAGCAAGATGCTAGAGGTACAAATAATATGAACTTAAGTAGCATTCAAAATTTTAAGTATGCACTTCAGAATAAATCTATAAACAACTTAGCCCTGATCATGAATGTTGGCTTGTAATTATACTAATCATTCCTTCACATAAACTTTTGCTTTTTATTCATAGCCAACAGGTCATGGTCTAACAGAAAATGACAGGTATTTGAGGCACTGCAGTGTCAACAGTACAATCTCCAAATTCAGTCAATTAAAAAATGTAAGAAATCAAACCTACCATGAGTGGGTGTTTTTTCTCTCCTCCGCACTCCTGTAGCTCTGCTTCTCTCATACTCAGAGCCCACAGGGTGGCCTTCGCTCTCAATTAGGGTGTAGTATTTCCCACTTTCATGCTCCAGAAAATAGCTTGGAGAGTCAGAGCCTTTCATCCCAGACTTTCCAAATTTGCTGATGTCATCACAAGACATTATTCCAATTTCATCCCTATAAACAGTAAACCAGAAGATTCTGGAGAATTTAACCACTTTATGATAAAGCTAAAGTATAAAACTGTCTCTCCCAAGCACTACAAATAAAAAGTCCTATAATTGAAATGCTATTATTTGAGCATTACATTCAACAAATGTGAATTAATGAAATCATCATTAGGTTTCATTTTACCTGTAAGATAAACATAGTTATTCAGGAGTTTTCTAGTACCTGAGAGGCAGCCCAAGGAATTGATATAACATGAGGAGACAAAGGGTTCCCTTGCAGAAATGCATGCTTTGGAATAAGATTCAAGTGATCACATAAAGGTAAATAAAACTAAACAATTAAAGACTTCTTTAAATCTTTCTTGGTTTCAGCCTAAAAACAGGTTTTGCTCAATTTGTGTCTCTAAATGAAAGTTAAGTCTCTCAAAATAATGATACACTGCTTAAGTTTACTAAACATTTCATTTTAATATAAATTACTACCAATTTTAATAATGTTAATATTTATATTAATAAATATTTAGTTTCATCCTGGGGCTTTTTGTTTTGTCTGGTTTTTATTAATCCAGTGAAATTCAAGTGTAAACTTTTATTTTTCAAAACCTCAAATTAATTAGGAAGTAAATACCTGGGGCCATAAAGTCCTGACATAGGAGACAGGATGAAAACATCCTGGAGTGTGGAGTTCTCCAGTTTTGAGGATATGCCCATGGTACTCGTTGGTGTTGTAGAACTGCTTGTTGGACTGGTTGGAATTACAGGCTGTAAAAAGGAAGAAAAAAAAAAAGGCACATGAAAGAATAAATTAGTGATGTTTTCTGTGCTAAAATTTCTTCACAATGGAGTCAATGTGAATCATTTTAGGAATCTTGACCTCTTTTTTTGGATTATCCTTCTTTTCAAATTCAACTGAGCTTTCTTCAAAAAAGATGTTTGCTGAGATACTGTTTTACCAGAGTTCAAGACTAGTTATGAAAGAAACTGATAAAAGACCACTGACATTACTTTAAAAGCCATCTCATGGGAAAAATCTGAGGCTCAGAATCAGAATAAGATTTTTAATCAATGCAGAAAATCAATTACATGGGGAAGGAGGGCAGACACTATCAAATGCCATTAATACAAAAATAATTACAGAACTCTGGAATACTTACAGTGAATGAAAGTATACAGAAGCAGAATGTTGGGTTCAGTAGAAGATTTACTGTTAACAAGGACAGAATAACTAAATTTCTTTTAAAAAAGCAGAATTTATAGTCATGTACTGTTCCTTATTTTTTTATGAATCCATAGCAGTGATGATTGTACCACTGTGATACAAAGACAGGTTCTGCTGTGACTACCGATAAAATAAGTAACCTAAGCAATAAATGTGAGCAATAAACACTGAAATAATAACAATAAATATAAGAATAGAATAGAATAGAATAGAATAGAATAGAATAGAATAGAATAGAATAGAATATGGGGGTCTTTGGGGATTTCTGCATTTTTAATTTTTAAATAAAGTTAAACACTATTTTTTGCTCAAATGCCAAGAAAGCTCAAGTCAATGGCTATAAGGACTACAACCAAATATTCTGTGAAGGATACAAAAATATATGCAAAGAATATTTTTAAACACAGGTACAGTCTGTGTTTGTAGTAAAGAAACAGAAAATATTTTTATTTTGTATTACTGTCTAGATTTTGAATATTAATAATTCCCATTCAATTACAAAATTGTGCTGAAATAGATACAGCTAGTTTTGTACAGGTGGAAAGGAAACAGTGACCCTAAAAATTGGATGAAAGCTATGAAGACCAGTTATAATCTTTTTCTAAATACAAATTTTTCTATCTTCCAAAGAAAAACACTGACGTTATTTTTGTGTGATTCAAAAAGTAAAAGCAATATTAAATACTAAAAAAGGATGCTTTTTCACGAAACTAACATTTTGCATAGGGGTACAAATTATACTCTGCTATGCTTATTGTTAAGCCTCTTACACTCCAATCAAATGTTTTAGGTTTCTTTCATGTTATCAATATAAATAGATAATAAGTGATGTGCAAAGACAAGAATAATTCACTACTTACTTTCTCATATCTCCAGAAATTAGGAATATGAAACACAAGTGAAATAACTGATGTACATATTCCTATTTATATCTCTCAGCAAGGCAAGCTCCTTCCAAGATGACATTCAGCTTTTTCTTTACTGTAATTTTCACATTATTTGGAATTATTGCCGTATTATTCCATTGCTACGTTCTTTAAAACTTCAGTTCATTATTTCCAAGTAGAAATAATCAAAGAATAAGTTACATTTGCCCCTCTTTCATTTCATTACATTTTTAGAGCTTTTTTCTAGTTTTTCAAACTATAATTTTCCAATTTTTAAATACCAAGTGCCCTCTTGGGTCAGAAAGTTAGTAAGCAGATCCTTCAGGGTGTTGGGAAAACATGGAGCGTGTTGGGAAAACAGGTGTACAACCTATCTATTGAATATTAAAGGATATATTCTTTATTTCATAGCAAACCATTAATAGCTATTCGCTAGGCAAGGTACCATCAAGTAGTTTTCCACCTATTTAATCTCAATTCCATCTAGTCCTGAATTCTCTACGCCATACTTATGAGGATGTCATAAGAAAAGGTATTAATATCAGGGTAAGATATACAGGTTCTGTCCTATCCACCAGGCCAGGTAACTGCTCACATGAGAGTTTTAAATCTGTTTAATGATTTCTTCATAATAAATTCATACTGATTTTACTTATCTGTTATCTTCCAAGTGCTCATGAACTGTTTGTGCATACTAAGTGACCGACTTAGAATTCTCTGGCTCTTACATTTCCGCTTTCTGAAGACAAGCATTATACTTCTTGTTTTTTGAATGTTACTATAATTCATCCATCTCTCAATTTCACAATAAATATGTTTGAAAAATAACGGTCAAAGAGTGCCCCCACTCAACACAATAAAACAAACTCTTCTTGCCTTTTCCATTGGTGTACTGTAAGAGCTTGTCTGCTGAGTTTACAGAAATATGTGCTCTTGGAGTTCACTTTCCATGTAAAAGGGCTGTAAGTTTTTAAGAAAATACACTGACTTGTGACTGTTCTCAGTAAGTTTTATCCTGCCTTCTCCCTCTCGGGTTTATGTTCTCTACATTCTGTATGAAAAATACCTCTCTTGATGCTTTCCAAGAATTTGTGGGCCATTATGTCTTTGGAACAGGGCCTGTTTCTATCACTTTCTCACAGGATGTGTCCACTTCAAATACACCGTATTGGGTGATTCTGCTGCTTGCTGACAAGAAATCTTCACTCAGCTGGCCTGGGAATCTTTAACGAATAGAAGAGAGCACCCTGTTTTTTCTCCTTTATTATCACTCAGATTATTCCAACTAATTTGGTTGTTCTATGATCTGGAGCTCAGAATGAAGGTAGCAAAGACGCGTACCTGCACTCTGAGCTCTAGGTACGTCTGTGATACCAGACATGGAATTTCAGTGGTTTAAGTATCTGCAAAATAGCACAGGGGTCTTACAATATTATTAAAACACGAGTTTAAGAAGTGTGTGCAAATAGAAGCAGAAATGAAAAAAATTGCAAGAAAAACATATTAGTAAGGGGCTTCTGAAAAGTGACACTTTAGGTATCTACTGTTGTTATTCAAATTTTTTCATGAGAATAGGTAATTATTAAAAAAATAATTAAGCATTTCTGAAATATAATAAAAAGGAAAGACAAATGGTAAATTCAACACTTATCAGAAATAAGCAATTGTCTCCCGAAGAGGAAAATTTCAGACACTTTCAGAAACAAAATGCATTGCTGTAACTCTGAGGGAACTTTGCAAATATGAGGGAAATTAAATAGCGTATCTCTTTTGAAAGTGCTGTTCAAAACAACAAACAAGATCCCATATATCCTGCAAAAACCAAGAAGACAGGATGCAGGAAGCTGGTAAAGCCTGGTGGTACAGCAACAGGAAGCTTGAATATGGACATCCCTTACCTTTTGAGGGGGTATGAAGATTAAGGTTGGGGTACTGAGTCTCTGCTTTCTCCCTTGAAGGAATAAACTCAATCCCCAGAATTCCCCTGATGGGTGAATTCACAGAAAACACACAGGTGTCACTCTTCTACATGGGTTGCCTGCGGTAAGGGAAAATGGGGCTTTGTAACTGCGTATCACCCTATACATTCCTACAGCGTGTCATTTTTGTCAGAATAGATTAAGTCATGCCAGTGATACAGCTGACTAATAAGACAAGCTTCTATAAAAAAATAATATTAGTGTTCAACAATACAAATACTACTCACAATAAGAAACAGAACTCTCAATACTGTGGAGCATTTCCTGCGTACTGGTAAGCTGGTATAGCTGTTCTGTAAGATTGCAGGTACGTTCATGGTGCTTTCAAGTCTTGTGGATTTTGAAATTTGAAATATGAACTTTACTTTTTTTTTTTATGTGTAGATGATAATTTTGGTTCTCAGAGCAAGAGGATACAATGAAATATTTATTATTATGACAGAAGTCAATAAAAGCATTAGTGGCATTAAGATGAAAAGGAAATGATGATTTGGCATCTCTTCAAGACATTTAGAGAACAGGACACAACTTTATTACTTGCTGCATTTTCTTTATGCTACAAGATTCTCCTTGCCCTTTTTTTTTCTCACTGATATAATAAAGTATATGGGCGGCACATAATTTCAGAATTCATCTAAGCAATTCTATAAGGGTACAGTACCTGAACTATGAACTGAAAACTGAGTTGAGTGGTATACACCAAACCTGCTATTTTCCTTTTTTTCACTCTACAAGTGTCTGTTCTCATAATGCTGTAGAATTTATCTTTGTACAAAGCAAGAACTCTCCAAATTCACATGGTTTTCAAAATCTGAAATGAGCTGTTTAGCTGGAATCATTCTGAAGGTACTTATAAAGATGCAGAACATAACATACATTTCTAATAAATTGTCACTGTTGACATAAGCTTTACTAGTCATATCAGCTGACAGATTCTATCTCTCAAGTTAAATAATAAGAAGTGCAATAATCTGGATCAAGTAGTAGTAATCCAATTTGAAAGATTCTGCAAATAAAAAGAAAAAATGCAATAAATGTTGTATTTTATTTGATTGAAGTGGCTGGTGTGCTCACTTTTATAAAAAACAGAGCAGCATTTGCCATTGCAGATGGAAGAACCATTTTATATCGAGTGGGAAGGTAATCAAAGAGTTTTAAAATTAAAAGAGTGTCCTAATATCACATAATGCCAACTAGAGGCAAAAGGAGAAAATGGTATCTACTGACATGCCTTACTGAAAGCTAATTGTAGCACAAAACATGTTAACATTCTGCTGTTGTTAATTAAGCATCAAGGGAAACTATATGCAGCAAAGGAATACTGTGAGAGCAGAAATAAATTTTATAAGGATTCATAGATTGTGTATCATTAATAATTCATAAATTAACTGTGTGGTATAATTTTAAACATAATTATTGTGGAAAGAATACCAGTAACACCTGTGAGTGCCTTAAGCAAGAATAGAAAACACCGTTTTCTTAAAAATTCCCACTGCATACTAAATGGAGTTATGAAATACTATTTCTGGCCTCTTTTTCTATAGACTGTTGCTTAAACTGGTCATTCCATCTCCTACATTCATACAGCTGCTTACTTTTGTCTCAGTATAAAACCTTCTGCCTATGCTGAATGTATACTGCTTATTTCTGTCAACAGCCTCTGACAGTGTCTGCACTGTGAGAACCAATTTAATCCATTAATGATAGAAAACTCCATAAAAACAAATAAATAAACCCAGAAGCGTTCCTAAAAATTCAACAAATTAAACTGAACTACAGTCTAAAAAATGCCAAAGTCAAACAAAGGCGAGGGCATTCTGCTGCCAAGAACAGGGAGAGGGAAGTGAGATCATTGCTTTCCAGCAGCATCAAGCTGTTATGTCAGCTGTCCAGGAAACACAAGCTCTAGTATCATCTTGAAATTTAATCATGCTAGTTCCAAGTCATTAATGACAATAACAAATAATACCAGATCCAGGTGAGACCTGCCGAAAACAGGCAAAAGCAAACTTTGTATCTTGAAATACATCCAGGTCCTAATACTTGAGCTTGCCTCTGTGGCACAAAGGCTAAAGAAGACCTAAAGATGCTCAAGATGACCCAAAGTTGGTTTTCAACATATTACAAAATCTACTGTTAAGAAGTACCATTGGCAATGCTTTTTAGATTCTCCAAAATGATGTATTTTTTTATTTCAATTCCTCAATGCATTGTTCTCCAATTCAGAAGAAACGTATTCTAGTGATGTGACACTTAAAACACCCTTTATCCTCATGGGCTCTTGTGTTCTGGGTCATCAGGAGGGGACACATCACAGAAATAGAAACTGTAGATAATTACACAAAAATAGCTTTGTGTACTGTCTCTTATCTGGCCACCACAGTAAAGATCAGCATGTTTAAACAGGGGAAGTTTATAAGGAGGAAATTCTTTCCTGTTAGGGTGGTGAGGTGCTGGAGGGCACTGGTGAGGCTGCCCAGGGAGGTTGTGAATGCTCCATCCCTGGCAGTGTTCAAGACCAGGTTGGATGAGGCCTTGGGTGATATGGTTTAGTGGGAGGTGTCCCTGCCCATGGCAGGGGGGTTGGAACTTGATCTTAAGGTCCTTTCCAACCCTAACTATTCTATGATTCTATGTTTCATGGGAAGTGCCATGTATACAGTACACATTGTTTTCACACTGACAAAACTTCCAGAGCTAGTGCTGCTTGTGAATGATGATTCTTTAACGTAATAAAGAGAGGATCTCTACAGAAGCCCTGTTGCAAACGCAGTTTCCATTTTGCTGCCCCTGGAGGCTTCATATGAAGTTAAAGGAATTGTAAAGCGTTCAGATGTGGAAAAATTCCTTTTAAAGAAGAGCAAGTTTCCTAAGATCTACCTGTCACAGCACTTTAAGCTTCTGATGAAATACAATGTAAGGCCTGCATGAGTAAAATTACTAGAGAACTGTTGAATAAGCAAGGCTTCCCAGCAATCCAAGATTATCACTTTGTGAATGCTACTGAAGAATCAGATTTTGGAAAATCAGAATAAAGGAGAGTCTTCACTTCAAGATCAGAGATCAATCAGTGGTTGGTTAGTTAATTCCTGAGCTACCTGGAGCTGAAGAAGAGAATTTTGCTGGAAAGTAAAAATGTTCCAATTGAATTTCCTGTGATTGATCAGAAATGCTTACTGGAACTGGTACAAGAAAGCCAGTTACAGCTGGATGAAAATGAGCTCCCTCATGCAATTCACTTTCTGAATGAACCAGGTGTACTATTTTCAAGTCCCAGCACTGCAGCTGAGAGATCTATATTTTTCAGATCCTAAGTGGCTGTGTAAAATCATGGTGCAGATTCTGACAGTGAAAGTGGAAGGCTTTTTTAAGTATCCTAAAGGGTGCAAGGTGTGGAAGGATGTCTCTGGTCTGGTCCTGGCAAGGAGGGAGGTGGCAGACTTCCCAGACTGGGTGATGCCTGAGCTGGTCTGGACAGAGCTGGAGGCCCTGGCTCATGAGCAAGGGCATTTGGAGACAGACAAGACCATGGTGATGATGTGCTCCCCTGGTTAACGGGTAAAAATATTTTTGCATATTTTGTAGCTTGGTTGAGGTCTGGGGTCGAGAAGTCACCTCTTCTTCTTCTTCTGATTCACATAATAATCACTCCTGATCAGATGCTGTCCCATGTAGTAAGTGCATTGTTTCTTCACCTTTCTTCATCCTTCTTGCCTCTTTTTTGCTTTTCCCCTTGCGTACAGCGGCAACCAGTATTGGCACGAATTGTTCCTCTGGTTTAGCTGCAGTGATTCTCACTGTGCTTGGAGTGGCTCAGTATCTGTTCTTGGGGTTTGGGCAGCTGCTGTACTTGTCACTGGGGTTGGTCTAGCTGCTGTGCTTGAGCTGGAGCAGCTGCATTATCTGCTGTAGTCAAACTTTGAGTAGCTGCTGTACTTGTCACTAGGGTTGGTGTAGCTGCTGTATTTGGAGTTGGAGTAGCTGTACTGTCTGTTGCTTTGCAATCGGATCTGGAGACATTTTTTTCCTTTTGAAGGTGCTGGACAGTGTTGAGCAGGGCTTTGTAATCATAGGCCAAGCCCCAGTACGTTGCCATGATTTGTCCCTCTCTGCTATGACCAGCATGACAGCACACCTCATTTGAGTGTTTTACTAATTTTTCTGGATTTTGCACTTGTTCCATGGTGAAGTTCCAAAGCACTGGAGGGGCCCACTGGCCTAGATACTTGCCCATACTGTCCCACACACCCTGCCACTCATGACTGTCCAGCCTCGGGGAAAATCTCTTGGTCCTCCTATATTGTCTTCTAACCCTAGACAAGACCCAAACCCGACTCTGCTTAACTTTCGAGATCAGATGAAATGGTTGTGGGTAAAACACACTCTGCATATGTGCCAACATGCTGATCCCCATCACAATCAGCAGGCAGGTCTTAAGGGTACCCAAAGGCAATTCAAAACCTTCAGAACTCTCAAATGATGCTGTAAATCATCTGGTGGGGGTGGGGGGCTGGGAACATAAGAGAATGTCTCCTTCATAGGTTGACCATCCAAGGAGGGGAAAAAAGATGTGTAATTGCTAAACACTTCTGTTATATACCTCCCAAAGTATAGAGGTGGTGACCACACTGGGAACGGAAGCCAGATCAGTTTCATGATCAATGAGTCTATTGTATTACAAGTCATTATGATAAAGTACAGTGAAACAAGAACCTTAGCCCAAGCCCTCCAGCCGATAAACACTAACACAGCAAATACCAGCTGTAAGTAAGGTATGACATGCTGAAATTCTGAGATCAAGAGCAACAACTTTGAGAGCCAATAAATCAGCATTGTGATGACTATATCTCTGAAACAATAAATGCTTATATCACAAATGCGATTAGACACACTCTGGTCAGATCTGTCGTTATCTCAACCCTTCATGCCCCACGTTGGGCGCCACAAAGAACTGCTGTGGTTTAACCCCAGCTGGTGACCCAGAACCACGCAGCCGCCTGTTCACTCCCCCCCTTCTTCCTCCCCCCGAGCTCCCGGAAGGATGTGGAGGAGAATCGAAAGAATACAACTCACAGAGGTTGACGTAAGAACAGTCCAGTAACTAAGGTATAACACAAACCACTGCTGCTACCACCAATAATGATAATGATAAGGGAAATAACAAGAGAAGAGAATACACCAACTCACCACCCGCTGACCAATACTCAGCCCAACTTGAGCAGTAATCCAGCCCTTCTGGGTAACTGCCTCCAGTTTATATACTGGGCATGATGTGCTGTGGTATGGATACCTCTTTGGTCAGTTTGGGTCAGGTGTCCTGTCTCTGCTTCCTCCTGGCTTCCCCTCCTCCCTGGCAGAGCATAAGACTCAGAAAGTCCTTGGTCAGAGTAAACATTACTGAGCAACAACTAAAACCATCGGTGTTATCAGCACTGTTCCCAAGCTGAAAGTCAAAACCACAGCACTGCACCAGCTACTAAGAAGAAGAAAAATGACTGCTACTGCTGAACGCGGGACACAAGTAGATTCATGAGCATGTCAATAGAGCAGAGTGTTTTTCCTGCGCCCTTGCGACAGAAAAACCTGAGCAGTCCCGATTCTCCTCTGGGTGTCACCATGCCCTTTTCCTCTCCCCCGGAGGTAGCCACACAGAAAGAAAAGATGGCACTAAATCCAAGTGTCAGCACTCCTGCGCTGCAAGGATTACACAAACTCGTTGAGTGAAGCCGCTGTATGGGATTTAGGCACTTTGAGTAATGAAAGATTCAGGAAGTGCCAGGCAGGAAGGAAATTTGCCTGGTTAAGCTTGAAGGGTTTGCTCTGTTTCATTAATTGAAAAAATATTCAGAAACACATTCATGCATTATGTGATCCAAACAAAGCCACTCCGAAGCTCCCTCCTCATGAAAGTGCATAAAGTTATTACAGAATGTTATACAGTGTTAAAGATAAACATGCACACTTACTAACTTACTCAAAAACTTTCCTTTAATGACATTTTGAGTTCAGTCTTTTTATGGTCAGTTTTTTCTACATGTTGATGCTGTAGGAAGAACCAGCTGTGATGTTCACAGTTGATTTTTTTGATAACAGGTTTTCAAGGAAGAAGCATGCAAGAAATATTAGAGGTTCTATCAGCACTGCTACCAAAAACTCAAGCTTGATGAGAGATGTGGAACAGAAGCAGACTTTTCCTGGCATTTAAAAGGTCTGACACACCTGATTACAAACAAGTACTTTTGACAGACTGTGAAATAATGGAAACAGAGAGAAACATTGCCAGTGCCAGTCAAAGCAAGCTACAGAACCTTAGGCAGCCTTCTTCTTCAGTAGCATTGTCTGCAAACATTCTCTCTTCTGTGAATTCCTGTGGCTCCCAACAAAACAACCTTATTGACACATGCAGTATTGACACACATACTTATCTCAGCACCTACTTTGGAGGAATTTAGGACTTTTTAGAGGCTCCTGTCCCTTTCACTGGAAGTAAAAATTCTAGTGTTTTCTCTTGAGTGAAGGTTTTACCATGACATGAGCATTGCAGCAGCCTTCTTACCTGAAGTGCAAGAGGTTTCCATCTCACATTCTTCAGAAGGGCAGGAGCAGAAACCAGGGTATTCTGAGGACGTTTTTTCAAGGTTAAAATCACTCCATTTGGGTCTTCCCACAACGCATTTACTAGGTTCTTTAACTGCCAGCCAACCTACGGATAAATTCCATAATTGAATTTTGTAAGCTTTCTGTTTAAATGTGAAGAAAGTCTTCTATTAACCAAAAAGGTCTATTACAGCTCTGCAGACATAAGCAGTTTTTATAAACTGATTACTTCTGTTGGACTGAAATGATGCTGCTGAAACTGTATTTTTTTTTTAGTTTCTCTCAATGAACACCATTTCCTTCTTAATAATCTGTGAGATCATTGTACATTTTACGTCAAATGAAGACTAGGAGTCATGAAATAATTTCAGCCTGGATACTGAAACAGCTCACTGCTGAGGAGGAAGACAAACTATGCTATAGCAGCATATGTAACATATATGTAACAGCTTTAAGATCCTAACTGAAGAGAAATGATCATTTATTTGATTTATCTATAGACCCCTTGATAGAGCTGAGTAATTTGAGTTTCTGTAAGTTGTAAACAAAGCTATAAGGAAAGAAGATCGCTAGTACTGGAAGGATTTTATATGTGCTGCTAACAAAAAGCTACTTAGACATATTTCCTAATTTTCTTGAATATTTAAATATGAATTTACTGTGAACTGTTCATATGTGAAAACAGAAAATGTATTTTTATGTGTTTTTTTTTTAAATAAATGTTTACAGTATGTTATCCTGAATGGTTGAAGAGATTTTAAAACTGAAAAATAATATAAATGACAGAACATAAAGATGTTAATGATAAAAGTACTTTCTTACACATTTAAGTGCTGCTGAATTTCTATCCATATTTCCCCAGGCATACGAGAACCAGAAAACGGCAACAAAAAGGGTATCAAACCAGTCAGAGATGTAAATTCAGAACTGAAAGTAAAATTGGGAAAAATTCACATTTTTCCAAACCTCAGCCAATCTGCCATGTTACGGCACTGAAATTACTGCAATTGTACTAGTTTTAAAAAGAGAATAAATTTGGCTCCGCTCAGCAGTCCTTTTGCCCTTTCTATATGCAACTGATGCATTAGTTTGTTCGCTATGAATAAAATGAGAAAATCCTACTGCTTAGCACTCCACAGGGAATTATCATTAAAGTTGATCTGCACAATTTCCTGAGCAACAGGAAGTTTCTTTAATATGACAGTCTAAAAAAAAAAAATAAATCTTTTGCAGCACCCAAATTAGTAATGATAGACGAATCCATTGCGACGCTTGTAGGATCTGCTAACATTCACTTCTAAAGCTTGAAGTTTTGGTCAATATACTTACAACCTGATCTAGATGACCAGAATTACATCACAAAGTTTGAAATTAGTCTCTCTTCCACTGGCACCTGGAAAACGGTATGATGTCTAAAGAAGACTCTTAGTTACTCACACCTAATCTTAGCTCTGGGTGCCCAGGGCTAAACTATTGCCTCCATTTACTCTCATCTTATTATTTTCAGGCAGTACACAAAGGATCTTGCTGAAGCAACTCAAGTTACAAGAACAAGCCTACCTAGAAAGGAATTATTGGAAAAAGTAACCACTTGCAAGTGACAATTAGGTTACTGGTTCACATTCAGCTCTAGGAAACAGCAAGGCATGCATGTTTAAAGAGAGGTTTTGGAGAATATTGCTAGCTTTACTTATTCACATCTTCTCCAGTTCATATGTGATTTCCAGATTTGCCAGGAAGGAAAATGGATAGATGCAGGATAGACTCTTCACTTACCCTTTTAAATATTGCATCCTTTATCAAACACTACTTGAGTCGGGTGTTAATTTGAAGACTGGTGTTCTCTACTCACAGTTCTGCTAAATAGAGCACTATGCACAGGATGTTTTTTCAAAAGCCAGTCTCTTTCACAGAAAAGCTGAGCCCCCAGCACCTCTAAAAGTGCCTGTATTAAACTCTTACCTCCGTTTTCTGTTCCAAACATGGCAGATTTTTACAGTACTAATAAATGACCACAGTAAACACCTGTCATAAATGTTATAACTATCAATCACAAGTCTTAAGCCTAGTGTCAAGTAGACCTGTAACAAATAGGAATTGGAATGCTGGGTTCGTACAGCACTTCTCCAAACACAACCTTACTTGAGGCCAAACTGAAGCAGCCTGGGAGTGAACATTTAAGAATGAAAACCTTAGGGAATACAAGAGCAGTAACTGTACTGCTGTTGTATTGCTCTTGTATTATGCAAGCATTAAGTGCAGTTGTATTTGCTAGGCTTTTTAGTTACATTTGACCTGTGTGTGGAACTTCACTATAACGTTTTAATCAGACTTACCCTTCTGGCCTAAGTGTGTATTCTCACTGCTATCAAAAAACAAGGGAAGATGAAAAGACTTAGGTGCTCAGAATCAGAGAAGTCAGCATACATCACTGCACTGTAACAGGGATAGTTTGTAATGACTTTATCTTAGAGGAAGATAATATCTAATTACACACAAGGGTGGAGGGAAAATAGTAAAGGTAACCTTGAAGAGATTTAAATTAAAATCCTCTTATAAGGGCTGAAGGGAAGCTAAGATATAAACTATAAGGCTCTAGCCTGTCTTCACAGTGGGCCAAAGTCAGGCTCCCCAGCATGAACATTTGGCTCAGAAAGAACTGCAGTATATGCTGTAATTCTGCAAAGGATTTTATTAGCTTTTTTTAGTATACTGTTTTTAATGTTGCTGTTCGATCGAACACTTTCTAAAAATGCACTGGCCACAGGAAACCAGAAAATGGTTGTAATTACAAGCAGGCCCCAGCCAAACAACTTGTCAACTTGCATTCCAAACAAACCCTTCTAGTTTGTGCTTTGTTTATAAAGTGGCAGAGGCTATATCTATCTATCTTACTCAATTATAGAATTAAAAATGAACTATTTTTGATTTTTATAAGATTGATGTAATTTTTGGATGTAATTGTAAGAATGCGGAAATCTTCAGAGTTCCATGAGCTTCTTTTAGAAAAGAATGATAAATAATTAAGTTAATGATAAATTATTCCAATAAGAACCTTAATGACAAAACCATTAAATACCAAGATCTATAAGAGAACAGTCTGCAGTCATTACTACTAGGCAATGATAAAATGCTCTTAGGAGTTTGGACATGTTATTATAAATTGTATTACTAAAAATATCTTTGAAAAAATAGAAGTCATTACAGTGAATTAAAAATCCTGCTTTAAAACCAGTCCTTGAGACAGATTTTGGCATTTATTCTTCAAGAATCAGTTTCTAATAGCAATTACTAGCTTCTAGCTACTCTAAGATATATTCAGCAAAAGGGCTTTTTGCTCCTGTAAGATTTTTAGCACACACATTCAGTTAATCAGATTCTACAATATGGGTTAAGATATTTCACTCAGTAATAAAAGTTAACATTAAAATTAGACTAATGAAGGAAAAAGACTAATGTGATACCTTCTGTATTTTCCTGAATAAATTAAATCAGAGCAATTATGATACCCATTACATTCAAAACAACAAATTTAGAAGATTATTATGTCCTATTTGCACAGCACAGTAAAGCTGTAGTCATGGTGCACTGTTCTCTGCTAAACATATTTGTATATTGAAATTCATTGCACCAGTTTTGATCTTTTTATAATCTACAACACCTAGAATGTGGAAAGCCACATGCCTACTGCAGTCTTACTTCATAACTCAACATACAAAAGACAGTCAGGTGCCACCAATAAGAACTGCTACTACAGTGATACACACAGAGTTTGTAGATACTTAATAGCTTAAACCAACTGATTTTTAACTTCAGCTTTGTTTTGTTAATTTAGATGCTGAATATGGAAGAAACCTTGAAGAATGCAACACAATTCACTGGAAATGGTAAGAGCCAGGCAGACGCTTAAGATTTTGGTGGTTTATACTTGGAATTGCTCTTATCAATATTTTTTGTTGATTTGTACATCCTCAGCGTGGAAAGAAGGACTCCAGGGAAAAAAACATGTACTACTCTCTAAGTTAAAGGATTTGTTGGTTTTCTCATTGATGGCACAAGCTAGAGAATTAGTGGAAACTGTAAACTATAGTAACTTAAAAAAAATAATAGTTCTGAAAATATTATTCCCTACAATGCTAAATTTCTTCACCATAAAAGTATGATTTAAATGTCCACAATGCTGTAGGAATTTTGCATACCTAAACCTGATAATTTTGTAGCTGGGACAGCATAATTAATATGCTTAGAAAAATACAACTAACTTTCCTGAACTGACAATGAACTAGTTTGTTTCCTAGTTCTCCAATATCTTCTTTAGAGTCTCCATATAGTGACTTTGTTCCTTCTCATGTAGATATGGATGGATAGGATTTGGAATGCATGCTACCAGCAATAGCGATTTGGGCATTTTTATAAACCCAAACCCTGTTCATGCTGGACAAGCATCTTTCCTCCTGTTTTAAGATAAAGGCTACCTGGCCTGTGATGACTCAGTGATGATGGGTATAAAAAACAAAGTAATACAAAAAAATCAAAAAAATCCTTAATGCTACAGGCGCACAAAAAAAGACTGAAGAAAACACAAACTGGTGAGTTTGTGGATGACTTCGTGGGCTTTAAGTGAGTGATATCTTTGTCTATTAGAAGGAACTGAAAAACAAGCTGGACTCTTGAACATGTTGGTGCTTATCAAAGGACTCCAGTAGTCAAAACCACCACAACAGTTAATCACCTCCACACCAATTTCTTCCAAACACATTATAAACTTGTTATGGTACAAATGTAGAAGACACAGCTCAAATAATGGAACTAGGAGTGCACAGTGGATAGAATAACTATATTCCTTTATCTGAAAATTCCGGGAATAAAGCAGAAGCACAGTTCCACAGTTCCTTCACTGCTTATCAAACCACAAGCATCTATCAGGGCTCTCAAGAATGAAAAAGTCGTAAGAAATACAAAAACACAGACTGCACCTCACAGAAGCAAGGCAGGTTACACCTTGCTTGTGAAACTTGTGCATATTCTACCCACCGCACCATATACCAGCTTTAATGTTACCTAGGATCCAGAGCTATAACTAAACAGGAATTTAAGACCTCCCTT